TGGCCTAGTGTGAACAAAGCCCTGGGCCATCCCCGGATAAAACAGGGCATGGTGGGGTGTGTGCTAGCGCAGCATTCAAGAGGTAGAGGAAGGAGGGTCAGAGGTTCCAGGCCATCCTCAGCTACATAGCAAGTTCAAGACCATCCTGAAACACCTGAGGCTCTGCCTCAAAAACAAAGCAACCAACAGAAATTAATAGCCTTGCTGTGTGCAACCCAGCTGTTGGCTAACCATAACACCACGGGGTGGGGGAATCTTTATCCTACAAAACTGTTAATTATTTTGCTTTCCACATTTTTTTATGGTCTGGGTCCTGACATGTCTTATCATATCTAAAAAGCATACTTTCCCACATTTTAACACCCAGAACATGGAGTCATTATATAATCATATTAAATTCAATTGAGATGTTTCCCTTTTTCGCAATAAGATGACGTTTCATTTTTACAGTGGGTGCCGCATTAATCAGCCATTTTCACCCTGGGGCCGTGTGACAAGCTGCCTCACCAAAATTCAGTAACTTTAATACATGATGTGTTGTAAGATGTCGGTTGTCTGGGGCCAGGTGATCTCGGCTGGGGTTCCTGGGCTCCTGTACGCATGCCGCCCTCCTTTCTTACTCTTCTGGGTCTAGTGAGATGACTGTAGCTGCCTGGCTTCTCACAGACCCGGTGAGAAAACCCATTTCTCATGCCCAAATGCCTGATGCACAGGCCAAGGATTCCCCACTGGGAAATGCACCCCAGCCCCCAAATCACAGGGCGGGCCACAGGGCGGGCGGAGGAGAGAGGGAGCATTTGCTGAGCTATGGCCTGGTCAGCCACAGATGGCGGAACATGACCCCAAGGGAGGGAGGCTTTAGCATTAGGGATTGAAAGGGAGGGAGGAAGGGAAGAAAGGAGAGAGAGTAAAAGGGAAGGAGGGAAGGAGGGAGGGACAGAGGGAGGGAGGGGGAGGGAAGGAGGGAGGGAGGAAGGGAGGGAGGGAGGGAGAGAGGGAGAGAAGTTGGGTCATCCCTTTAGGCAAAGGGTCTTTAATAGCCTGGCTACAGAAGAGGTGTGAAGCAGAGAATTTCAGGCTTCAGAGACAAAGTGAGCCTTTCTTCTTCAAGGCTCCTGGAGGAAGGAGAGGTCCTGCATGCAGAGAAAGCAGGCTTGGTTCATGCGTGACCTGTGTTACATGACCGTTACGGGAGCACAGCTTTTGACTAAGTAGCAGGGATCACAGGGACACTGGGTATGGGTGTGGGTCTTGGATACTGTGTGTGCAAAGTCACGTTACCCTGGTAATGAGTAGGCGGGTGGGGCGGATGTTGATCCAACCCTGCTCGCTCTCAGCCAGCCCTGTCTACTTGAGGTCTGGTTACTTTGAAGGCCTGGGTTTCCTCACAATGTCTTCTCTTGTACTTTTCACTACCCGGAGACACTCCTCACACACTTACCTCCCCCCCCCCCACACACACACCATTTTCTCACCTGCCAATCACACTGGCCTCTCTGGACCATAACAAGCATCCTTCCCCATGACTGGTCCTATGTCATAGGTGTTAGACTAAACTCTTTACATCCAGGGGCTCACTTAATCCCCCCCCACCCTTGGGGCATGAACTAATAAATGCCTGTCCTATTTGACGCTGAAGAAGTTCAAGCTGACCTGTTTCATTAGGCAGCTGTGGTGGCCAAGTCTGAAACACCAGCACGTGAGAGGTGTATGCAGTCAGATCCCAAGATGGAGGGGCCAACCCAGCTCACACTTGGAGATGTTTTCAAATTAACGCGTACACATGTGTCTGTTGCTGTCTTCCCCTGTGGCTGTAATGAAATACTCTAACCAAAGCAACTCAAGGGACAGGGGATTGATGTCAGCTCACGATTTCAAGCTATAGTCCATTGAAGCGGGGACATTATGGTGATGGGGCTTCAGCTGGCCACACCACGCCCTCAGCCAGGAAGATGACAGCTTGGCTGTTTGCACCATACATGCCAGCCCTGAGCTGGACTTCTCCACTTTCATGCAGCACAGGACGCGACCCATGAAATGATCTCACCCGCCGTCAAGATGGCTCATCTCACCTCAGTTAACATGATCAGGATAATTCCACACAGGCACGCCCAGAGGGCCAGCTCCCAGGCCATTCCACAATGTCAAGTTAACAATGTAACTAAGCATCGGGCTTGATATTTATCATTACCCAGGGGAGCTGGAGGGGACGGCGTTGGGTGAAGTGGGTCAGGCACGGGACGGCACATGCGTCGTGCCGTAAAATAAGCAGGAGCTAAAACTGTCAGTGTCACAGAAGTAGGGTAGAGGGTGGCGGTTACTCGCGGCTGGGAAGGAGAGAGGGAGCTGGAGAAAGGGTGGCCAAAGGGACTTCGGGTGCTCTACAGCACTGAGGGCTGCAGCTCACTGACACCCGGTAACCGAGTGTCTGAAAACAGAGGATGGGGAGAACTGGCATATTCCCAACACAGAAACTCAGCAGAATTGGGGCGATTTTCATGCCACTTACCCCGAATGATCATGACCCTCTCACAGTCATACAGAGATAACCACACCGCACCCCCAAAACACGTGCAGCCATCATGTCAATTAAAAATGAATGCAAACGCTATTTGGAAACCTACCCAAGGGGTGGGGAGAGAACTCAGGAGGTCCGATCTCCTGCTGCATGGGCATGATGGCCCCAGCTAAAACCCTGGGACCCACGCAAGAAGCCAGGGGTGTCTCCTTCCTGCCGAGGAAGCAAGATACAAAGTGACAGAGAGCAGGACACGTGGAGTCCTCCCTCAGCCTCTGCACACAGGCACCGCACACGCGCACGCGCCCACACACACACACACACACACACACACACGCACGCACGCACACGCACGCATACGCACACACACGCATACACACACGCACGCACACGCGCACACACACACGCATACACACGCGCACGCACACACATGCACGCACCACACAAAAAAGTAGCAAACACCCCACTTGAACCTGACCCTCCCTCTGCCTTCTCATGGCACACTTCTGTCCCTCTGCCCCATCCCCACCCAGCCATGAAGACTCCGCCCATCGGCACAGGGAACCATCCTCTCGTGGGCTTATACAGAGAATACATGTCCTTTGAAAATGCAAACGGCACTGCGTGCAATAGAGAGGAAGTTGTGTCTGGTAGAGGAGACTCTGCATTGTGTAACCCTCCTGCGCCTCCTTCTCTGGCGCCTACCGCCACATCATTCCTCTCCAGTGTCAGTTAAGGGAGCTTTCCATCCTGTGAAGCAGTGAGCAAAAGGGCCCCCTCTCCCCTGTGAGTGGATTTAAAGCCAAAAACTGCTCTTCCCTGCAAATAGCTCTCATCCTACAAATAGCCTAGTAATCAGCAATCAGGAATAATGATGAGGAGGATGCAGGAAACATACAGGGAATTAAATGAGAATCTGCGAAATAAAATTAAGCATTTTTAAATGGGCCTCTGCAGTATCTGGGGAACACCTCCAAGATCGATCCCACCGTCTGAAGTTTCCAGAATAGACTGGGATGTCTGGCATCAGGGCCAGAGTCTCCCCTCCACCAACCCTGCCTGCCCTTCGCTTGGGCCCTTCCAGAAGGCACAGCAGCTGGGATTCCAGGCTGCCTTTGCTGGAGAAGGGCGGCTGAGAACTCGGTAGCGTCCTCAAGTTTCCCAGCCGCAGCCTGTCTGTGGAACCCACTAGCTTAGAAAGCCACCCACAAACGCTCAGTGGGATGTTTCCAGATTCCCAAAGCCACGCCCCCCCCCAATCCAGTCTCGCTCTCGCACACTTGAAGACTCAGCTCTGCATGTATGCTGGCCAGTTCATCCATCATCACCCCACTTCCTCCTGGTGGGCTCCTACTTAGCGGTAGGGTCACCTCCTCCAGGAGGACCCTTCTCCCAGTTTCTCTAGGTACCAGCCCTCTCCATCCCTCATGCATGCTCACAGCCTTTTGGCAATTGTGGAGAGCCTGTCCTAGAACTCTCTCTGTAGAGCAGGCTGGCCTCACATGCACAGAGATCCGCCTGCCTCTGCCTCCCGAGGGCTGGGATTACAGGCGTGTGCCACCACCACCTGGCCATCTCTGGTCTTTTTCGCGGTTCTGGAGACCTGAACTCTGGTCCTCACACGCATGTGGTGGGCGCTTCACTCACTGAGTCATCCATCTTCACTTCTCCTCACAGTATACTTTATCAGGCTCATGGTAGGAAACACACTCCATAAACACCAACCGGAAGGTAGAACATAGTTTCCCAGGGATTAAATGGCCTGCCCCGGGTCTCAGTAAAACGCAGATGCAGCACTCAAGCCGAGGGCTGTCTGACTCCTGGAAACGCACCGACGGGAGGGGAGGGAGTCTTCATCTTCATTACCTCACGTGACTGTGACAACCAGCTGACAGAGACGTGTAAGGAAGGAAAGGTCTGCTTTGGCTCGTAGTTTCAGCCCACCCTGGCGGGGATGGCTGGACAGACACACATGGTGCAGATCAGTCTCTGGTGGGAGGAGCAGGTGACGGAGGCCACTCACATCCCAGGCGAGCAAGAAGCACAGTGAGAGGAAGCAGAGCCAGGGCCTTCAACGGCCCTCCATGACCCTCTTCTGCCAAAAGTCCCACAACCCGCTCCCCTCCCCCCAAAGTAGCGCCAAGCACTCACAACAAGAGCGTGTGGGGGGGATGAGTTACACTCAATCCATTGTGTAAGGGTCCTGTCGTGGGGGCATGAGGGTGGCCTCAGAGATAGCGATCCTAAGGCTGGAGGATACTGTCCTAATATATTTAAGAGTTTGTCTTTGATGTTCCCCCTCCTCTCTCCATGCCTCTCTCCATCTGCCCATCTACTTATCCACCCCCCGCCCGCCCGCCATTCCCCATCATCTCTCTCCCTCTCACTTGATCTCCATCTCCCTAACTCCTTCTCTGCCTGCATCTGTGTCCCCCCCCTCACACGCACACGCACGCGCACACGCACACGCTTGTCTCTCCAGCTTCCTGATCCAGTGTGTGAAGATCGGCCGTGGATATTTTAACATACTGCGAGAGGAAAACGCCATGAAAAAGAGGCAACAGCAACTCCAGAAGCTAAAGGAGGAAGAGCTGAACAAATTCCAGCCAGCCAAGAAGTACTCAGACATCCACTGCAGGGACACCCTGCTGTCGTAAGTGGGCAGCATCCTCGGGGGACGCTGAGCAGTGAAGGTTCACTCGGGGTGGCTCGGCTTTCCTAGGCTAGTACCCAATCCCTTCTTCCGCCTTATCCCACCTGCCTGATCATCCTCGCTCTCTGACATTAAACGGAGCATCTTCTGTGGCACACTCCACTCTCCTACCTGATGATACTAAGGGCAACCCAGCAAATCTTGCTTGTTCCCAGATACACCTCCCCCATCTTTTCCCTATCGTCTCCGTCCCTGTCCCTGATCCCTCCCCACACCCTCTTCAACCCAAAGCTCCGCTCAGTACTCGGGTACTCATCTCCCGTTTTCAGTGCTGGTACTTCCTAGCTTTCAGCCAACAGCCTGCTGTATACCCTTTGGGTTCTCCGGACCCTCCCAGCATGCACCTGCATTTATCACTTTATCAGTACACCGCCAGCCATAGCCCCTGGTCTTACACAAAGCGAGTACACGGAAGAGTGTCTGTTTTCTGAGTAAAGCCACTTCCCTTTCCGGAAGCCGTTCTCCCAGCTGGCGAGGACCGTCCACAGACAGCTCCAGTATGAAATGCTCACATGCATAAAGCAGCAAGAGGAACCATACATAGCACCACGCACAGCATTAGTGGCAAGTATTTACTGCGCAGCATTCCTACAAACCTGGGATTTATTAGCCCAGCATGAGAGTCGTGGAAACATGAACTAAGAGATATCTGTTGGTTTCCCCAACATCACTAGTTAGAAGCATCCTCAGTCGAAAACACGGTGATACCAAAACCCCTGGGCTTCGACAACCGTCAGGGACGGGGCCCCGGGAGACTTTGCTCGTGCAGTCGGAGCACAGCACACAGACATCGGCCCATCAGAAAGTCTTGGCACCCAGCATACACCACTAGGGCAGTACTGTATCTTCTTTTTTAAAAGCATCTTTAGGCATTTAACTGGCACAGAAAGGATTGTCTGTGCTCACAGGGTACTGGATGGCATCTCAATACACACATGCAACGTGCGATGGTCAGATTAGGGCCATTACCAGACCCATCACCTCAAACACGTTTTTTGAGTAGAAAACATCCGAAGCCATCTCCACTCACAACGTGGAAGAGTACACATCCCACTGTGACCAACCACAGTCTTCCAACTGCTGTGTAAGGTTAGACATTATCCTCCCCAAGAAGGCGGGTCAGCCAGTGGTAGAGTACCTCCTAACATTTGTAAGGTCCTGAGTTCAAGCCCCAATGTCGCAGGAAAAACAAACCATACCATTCACCACATCAAGCTCTCCATGCATTGTCTTTGGCCAAAAGTCATAAATAATACATTCAGGCTCAGAACCTCTAGAATGTCCTCATTAGACCCTGAGAAGGGTACTTAATACAGAGAGAGCCCTCAGTGACCCCCCTCCCCCAGGGGAGAGGGCAGTCCCAAGCTCTGCCTTCTACCCAGAGCCCACACCACTCTCCCAAGCCCAGAGGACTCTCTCCCTCCCCTCTGGCCCATGCTTGGGTATGCAAGGCGTGGCTCACTTAAAGTTTAGTAACTTTAAATAAGTGGCTGCCCGCTTCATGAGTACAGCATCCATTGTGAGAGCGGGCCTGCTTTATCAGTCAGCGTAAAGAGACTGTCCATAGCATGGCGGGGTCAGAGTCAAGGGCACAGTTCGGACCCGGATCCCACTTCCGACTCCACCTGTACAGCTGCTGACCTTGGAGCAATTCACTGCACCTCTCGGGCCTCCGTGTGTTTTACCCATGTGGATGGCACCAAACCCCCATCCTTACCATGACGGTTACGTGAGACTGTGCTCAGCCCAGCACAGATCACAGCACTCGTAAAACACACTCCGCGGCCGTCTACAGCTGTGGCTCCAACACAAAGGTCTCAAGAATGCAAGAGTTTGTTTACAAACACTTTCTAACCAAGTATTTGATCACATGACGACTATTTTTGCCCTCCCTCTTTATCCCCCCCACACACACACCTCGGGGGGATCTAGGTGATTCCGGGCAAAAGTCTTAAGACTGGCAAACTAGGCAAGAAAGGTGAACTCCAGCATCTCTCCCACAAGATCCTCTTCTGCAAGCTCCCCCCACCCCCACCTCACCCACCCCCACCCCACCCCACCCCCGCTGTGCAGATTCAGCTGAAAAGGTGGTGAGGGGTGGAATTTGTCTTATTACAGAGCCAAGAGAAGGCATCAAACCAGAGGTTAAGGAGTATGAGGGCGGGTTAATTTCTGTTTAGTCCTGGGACACATGGTTAGGCCACTAAGACAGAGCACACAGAGCAGGGCAACACATTAGCCAGTGAGATTTTTTTTTTTCCTAGTTTGTTTGTTTTCCAGCTCCGGTGTCAAATAAGGAGTCAACGGACACGGGAACTGGGTCACCTAGACTCTGGGGCTGTCTTTTAATTAGCTCTATGACCCAGAGATTGCCCTCAAATTCCCTAGAGGAAGGTGTTTGGTCCTCACTGTGTGCCAGTGTGACCCTCACAGGAAGCTAAGGAGAGGGTGTCTTCAAAGAGAAACTGCTCCCCACAGCGCCCTCTGGAGGGCGTCCATTCCTCCCCGGACAAAGACAAAAGCATGGGCCAGCCTCAGGCCCCACCCACGCAGTCTTGTTCTGCAGATTGCTGCACAGCCTCCTCCTGCCCCCCTCCCCACCTGCCCCCCTCCCCACCTGCCCCCCTCCCCACCTGCCCCCTGCTACCACCTCCCAGGACAAACCCATCCTCTCTTCTATTGACCGAGTTAATTCCACTCAACCTTCAGGTTTCACTTCAGTATTTATTCTGTCCCCACTCGGGCCACGGACACCACTTCCACAGGTCGGCTCCATTGGGCATCAGCCAGGGTAGGGTGGCTCAAAGGAGGTGGCTCCCTCACACTGGCCTGGCGCCTCTCCCCGTGGGCCTCCTCACAGGCCGAGGGATTCCTCACAGAGCAGACACCACATGCCAGGACGCAGGGAGGAGGGGCCGCTCACTCTCGAATCCTGACATGAGTCACCTACCACAGAGCCACCATCTAAGGATAGGGGGGGAAATATGGGGACCCGCCTCTCATTTGGAGACTTGTCAATGAATCTGGGTGACATCCTTCTTACCTGTCATGGCGCACACACACACACACACACACACACACACACACACACACACACACACAGCAGTCTGATTCACACACACCTGCAGGCTGAATTCAGTTATAAAAACGAAAACACCTGTGATGCAGGAGTACTTGGAAGAAAACCCATTTTCTATAACTGAGATAACCTGCTCCGTGAGGGCTGAAGAAGGAGAAGAAAACAGCACTGAAACTTGGTTTCAAAATACCCTTCCTAGAACACAGCCGGAGAGCAGTGCCAGTTCAGCGTGGCTGAGCTGAGAGCCGCTGAGGAGATTTGCAGTGCCCACCTCTGAGTGTGTCTAGGATCAGCTCCTAAGGAGAGATCTGCCCTGAGTGTGGGCCACACAATCCCCCAGGCTGGGGGCCCAGAAGGGATCAAAGGCTGAGACAGCGAGTCACCCTCACCTCGGGTTTCTCTGGGTCTCCACTCCCCTTCCCCCACCTCTCCCCCTCTCTCCTCTCCCCTTTCCCCTCCTCCCCCCTCCCTGGACCTCTGCAGGGTAAGCCGGTCACCATTTGCCACCACCACCTCCTGCCACTGTGAGGCACAGCAAAAGCAAATCTATTCCGCTGGCTCCCTCGTATTCCGTCACACAACATTGAAACATGGACACGAAAGTATTTATCTCACTCTTGAGGAAGCATTTCCAACACCTGGTATGGTGTCCCTGAAACAAATAATTTACCTCCTTGTTTATTTTCTTGGCTCCTCCGGTGGGCAAGTGTCGTTTCCTTTTACTGTGCTCGGTTCACAGGGTGCTTCTAGAACCCTCACCCAGCAAGCAGCGGGCGCGATTGCCAGGCGCCCCGTGATGAGTGACAAATAAGCTCCAACACAGATGAGGCCTAAAGCCGCTCCTGAGGGTCCACTCTGCTCCGCTTTCTGTTCTCCCCTCAGTACCTACGAGGAAGAGAAGTTAAAGAAGTTGGAGGCCGGCATCATTATCCGCCCATTCACGCCAATCCACAGCTGCATCATCGCTCCTACCTTGCCCGAGTCTCACGTGTAAGCACCTCCCAGCAGTTAATGTGTCAGGAGCCATAGAGTTGCTCCTCTGTCCTCTTGAAAGGAATGAGGAGCTTGGAGCCAGCAAAACTACTGGTTCTGAGAGAGGGGGAGGGGAGGTAGGGAGGGAGGGAGAGGATTCCACAGGTGTGGAGGATTAGACCCCAGTGGCAAGTCAGATGGGGCCCTCTGTAGTCATCCCTTCCCTCACCAAGCCAGACACTCAAATGCCAACTAGTTTGCAACGCTTGATAAAAATCTGTCTTGAGCTCTCACTGTAGAGCTTGTATAAAAACATCTCAGCTGAGGCTCAGGGGATATAATTCCCGACCCCAATCCCCCCACACACCCCCAAGACTCAGAGAGCTTTTTCCCAGGGAAGCCTCTGTGACCGTGATCTGTGATCAAGGCATGTAGAGACTAGTCAGCCTTCCCAAGTGCACACTCTTGCTCCCTGAGGCCTTGATGCCGGGTTCTTCCTGAGTTCTATGCAAGTCCATAGCTTTTCACCTGGGAAGATCCGGGCAGAGGCATAACCTTGTGACCTCGGCCCTATGGGTGTCTGGAGACTGAGAATTACTTGTTGTGAATGAAGGACTCTCCTGTGTCTTACTGGCTGTGTAAAAGCGGCACCCTAGGCCTCTGCCCAGCAGATGTCAAGAGTACCCCTCACGCTGCAAGCTGTGACAACCACAGATGGCTGCAGACATGAACAGATGCCCCCTCAGTCCAGACCCACGCAGTCCCTCCAACCTCGGTGTTGGAAACCTCTGCCTTAGGATAAGGCGCTCACAGGGCCACAGTTGACCCTGTGTTCATTGCCCTCCCACAGTCTTCACAGTGATAAGGCCACTCTGCAGACACTGTGCCCCCTCAGTCCAGCCCTCCTGTGAGGGGGTTTCCTCATCACTCTCTTTAGAAGAGAGTGGGAGCTCAAAGATGTAGATCCATCTTTTCCTGGTCACAGAGAACACACAGCAGGTCACCCTCCCAGGCTTTAAGCCAGGTCTGTGTGGTGACGTCACACCCCGGGTCTGTGTGGTGATGTCACACCCCGGGTCTGGGTGGGGTCACACCCCGGGTCTGTGTGGTGATGTCACACCCCGGGTCTGTGTAGTGATGTCACACCCCGGGTCTGTGTGGGGTCACACCCCGGGTCTGGGTGGGGTCACACCCCGGGTCTATGTGGGGTCACACCCACAGCTCTCCTCTTATGCACTGTAGAAAGCAGGCCCCAAAGCCCTGCCTTGGTTGGGTTGGTGACATATTTTGAAAGCCAAGGCTCCTGCTCACAAAGAGAACCTAAGAGCAAAATTGCAGGGCTATACAGACACTAAAGATTATTAATAAGAGCACTTCGCTCATGGGTAGAAGATGCAGGCAGCCGTTACCACCTCCTCCTCCACCACCACCATCATACTCGACATTCATCATCTCTCATCACAGTTTCCCATCCCCACTGTCATTCAACAGCACACACTGAGCATGCCCTCATCCCTTCTTAACAGTCCAAGTCAACCCACCTGACCCACTGGCCTCCTGCCCGCCTTTGATTGACATTACCTAGGTTTCTTGGTAGACCTGTTCACCATGGCATTCCACGCGGCAGCCTACGTTGGATGCCCCCAAAGTATCCCCTTAGGAAAACAGACATTGTCCTCTGACCCCCCTACACACACACACACACACACACACACACACACGTGCAGCACAACATACCCCGTCCCTGACACACTAAATAATCATCGTAATTATTTAATTAATTACTTGATTGATCGATTAATTATCTAATGTAATCATTTTAAAAAGTGGCAAAAGGACAAAGGAAAGAGAAGCGATGTGAGGGAAGAAGTAATTCTGGTTTGAGTTTGGGGGAATCAGCCCACCCTACAGGGGAAGACAGGCCCGTAGGTGCATCAAGCAGCCTGTTTGTTTCTGAGCTGTCACAAAGCCAAGACACAGCTCTCAGAGCCTGCTCCCAGGACCCTAGGTGTGCCGTCTGGTCACCACGTCCCAGAGGTAGGGAGCATGCCACACTGTAACCGCAGCATCAGTCTCCCAAAAGGTACAAGGGTAGGCTCTCAGCCACCACAGTGTGGATCTGAGCCTGGCTCACCCCTCTCCCAGTGCAACTAATCCCAAAGCGGACCGGTAACCCTGAATTAACCGTGTGGGGATCGATCCCATCAGCTCAAGGGAGACTTGCTTTTTACTTTTCAAAACGGGAGAGGGCCATTCTAGAGGACTAAGACACAGATTCCTGCCAGCTCTATAAAACGACAAGGTTGTCCCTAGCAGCCTTTTTTGATACCTGTTCGGTAATAGCATGCCCACACCCCACGTCCAGATCTGTCACGAACACTGGTGCAGACGGCTATGGGTCTGGCAGCTGGTGAGAGGAAACTACTGTGTCCCCCAGCCCCGGGGATGTCCTCACCACCCCACCCCACCCCCAGGTTCCTACTGGAGTTGTCAGGTGTGTGGCTGCTGGTTCTTACCCGGCTCTGATGTGAGCTCCACACAACCGTGTGTGGAGATTTCACCTACCATGTCTTGCATTCAGGCAAATGAGTGCTTTCTGTTTAAGCCTGAGCTATTGCTCTGTGACCTGGAGAGAAAAGTCAGATTTCTATGACACACACTTCCAGGTTTTGTGTTTTGCTTATTTCCCAGTCTGGTCACTACAGACTAGGAGAGAGAGTGTGGAGTTTACACCCCTTATCCTCCATCTAGACCCACCCGACAAAACCATTTCCTGGTGAGAAATGGCTCTACCCTCCGGCAGGCAGGAAGCATCAGCAGTTTTATTTTACAGCAGGGATTCAGGAGGCTAAACTCAGATCCCAACTCTGCTGCGGTTTGCTGACCTTTGACCTTAGATGAGTTTCGCGGGCCTTTGTACCTCCAGTTTCTTCTCTCCCAGATTCATAAGGATGATAACAATTCGCCACAGAGTGGACAACTAGAACAGTGCTCTTGGGGATGTTCGCAGTTACCGGTGGGGCGGTGCTGTAACTATCTCAGTGGCCCGAGCAGGAGACCTGCACCCACGCTATCAGTCAGAGAAAGCGTCCACACAGCAATCCTGTTTCTCCCGAGTGCCTTCCTCTGTGCTGCAGCCATGGAGAATCTTTGTGTCTGCATTCCCCTTTCCTCTGAGAACAGCGGCAGACTGTGTATCAGTTTAAACCAAGTTGCCCCCTCAAAGGCCACATCTCCAAACACTCGTCCTTGAAGGGGTGGGCTCACAGTTTCCAGGTCCACAACTGAGCCCGTGGCAGGTGGCTTGGGGAGTTTAGAGAGGTCAGGCAAGGATGGAGAGGGTCAGCGTTGACCAGTTTGGGGATGGATGGATGAATGGAGGGAGGGAGGGAGGGAGGGAGGAAGGGGGGACGGAGGGAGGGGGGAGTAAAAGGAAATGTAAGAAGGGAGTAGGAGGGAGGAATGTAGGAGAATGAAGGAGAGAGTGGATGACACTCAGGCCTGGCATCCCCAGCATCACTAGCGACCAAGCCGACCCCATCCCCACCACTAACCTCCTTGCTCCTTGCTCTCCCCACGCCCACCCGACACACCCCACAGCCTAGGCCTGCAGGGGCCCTGCCCCAACCTTTCACAACCTGTTATCGTCACAGTAAGAGGGAACCAAGGGGCTCATGGCCCAGTGACAGGCACACAACACACCGGGCTCGTGTTCTAACTGCCGGACACAGAGCTACCAACCCGCGCCACCCCTGGCAGTGGGACCAGGGCAGTGCAGAGAGGGAAGAGTCGCTCATAGTAAATTGCTCATAGAAGGAAAAGCTTTTTCTTCACCCAGATACACACAGTGGGGGAGGGGTGGCTAGTTGTCCTCAGAAATGATAATTACTCGCTGCTCCCTAGCAAGAGAGGCAGGGCCAGGGGTGGGGTGGGGTGGGGTGGGGTGGGGGGCACAGCTCTAATCCATGCTGGTGAATGGACAGATGGCTCTCAGGGGAAAGAAACCCTAAGAGAGGAGAGATCTTCCTGGGAACCGAGAAACCATCCCCTCCTGCTCCTGGGAGGCCTCCTTCCCATTAGTGCAGGGGTGGGGGTGGGGCAGCTTCCAAGAAAACCACCCACAGTGCCTTAACCCTCTCCTGACCTCACTCACTAGCAGGGCAATCACCAGGCACTGGCTTCATCAGTGCCTAGTCAGAGCTCAGCTCCCTAAGGCCCATCACTCTCCAGATCAAATCCCATGCTAGCTGTGTGACCTCAGGTAACTCACTGGCCCTCTCTGAGCCTCAGGTCTCTCCCAGGTCCAGTAAGCCTTTCATGTTGCTGTGAACGTTGAACCAAACATCCAAACACTATCTCTTCATAACATAGTGAGTAGCATGATCTTGAGCAAAACTGGACCTCAGTTTCCCCCCTATCTAAAATGGAGACGATAATTCATACCCCACCAGGTTGTCGGGAACATATAAATAATATGGAGACAGCACACCAGTCAATGTCTGGTTTGCTGTGGACAGCGTAAGGTCTCCCAGAGATCAGAAATGTCCGCTAGACATATGGTTAAGTAGTGTTTTTCCTTTTGTTTCCAAATTACGTGCTCAGAGTGTTTTTCTTCAATAGCCAGCTATGTTTCAACCCAGTTAATACTGTTTCCCATTCCCAGGCTTTCTTAATGCCCTCAGGCTGTTTATTGCATTTTATAAGATAAATGACTGGGCATCGGTGGGATATTAATTGCCTTCAATTCTCATTTTATTTGCCTGAGTCACGACCTCCAGCTAGGAGAAACTCTACCCACTACACACAAATGGAGAGGAACTAGAGCAGGATGCTCATGTTTTTTCCGTCGTGGCCCTGACGCATACTGGCTCGGTGACACAACTGTGTGGCTTCCCTAACCGCTCGGATCTCCAGTGGCTCCACGTGCAATGTGCGCAAAACCCTTAGCCACGTGACGGAAGCCAGCACAGTGCAGTCGCGGTGACCAGCTTCCTTCCCGGTGCCCCCTCCCTCCGCCTCTGCAGGGAACCCCTCTACCGCCAGCTGTGTGCGCTCCACTGGCTCCTAGAGGCCCTGACTATCGACCACACCCACCACACCATGAGGCCCTTGATTGCCTGTTGGAACCCCAAGTAAGGCCAGCACCCCTGCACCCTACTGTAAGCCAGCACTTGCCTTGGTGGCGGGAAGGGGTGGGACCTTACCCTTCCCACCCACACACACACACACACACACACACACACACCCCTTTGGTGTTTGTATTGGGTGACTTGCTTTAGGAGTTGACATGCCCTATGGATCCAAACCCAGGTAAGCTGGAGACAGCTCCTACACACCCTCCAGAGCCCACTGTGCTTAAAACGGGGCACGGTGGGGACATTTACACCACAACCAGATTCCTCTCCAGGAATCATCCCACTGTGTCTCCTCAGCATCAGCTCTGAATGCTCCTCTACCCCTGCACCACCTCCCAACACACACACACACACACACACACACACACACACACACACACACACACCTTTGCTCTTTGTTCTTGTTCTCCTTTAGCCCAAGGGAATTTTGTTTGCCTGCCTGCCTGCCTCCTGCCTGCCTGCCTGCCTGCCTGCCCCCTGCCCCCTGCCTGCCTGCCTCCTGCCTGACCCTGCCTCCTGCCTCCTGCCTGCCTGCCTGCCCCCTGCCCCCTGCCCCCTGCCTCCTGCCTGCCTCCTGCCTGCCTGCCTGCCTGCCTGCCTGCCTGCCTGCCTGCTTGGATTGGTCCTCTGATTCACTGGTTCACTGGTGACTGAGTTGGCTGGTTGGACTGGTTCATTGGTTGGTTGGTGGGCAAGTTGGTTAAGTTGGTTCATTGGTTGGTTAATGAGTAAGTTGATTGAGTTGGTTTATTGGTTGGTGGGTTGGTTGATTGGTTGGGTCATTGTCTGTGGTTTGATTTTTTTTTCTCTGTTGTTTTGTTTTTAAATATATGTTGAAGGTTATTTCTCCACTTAGATCTAAGGTACTTATTCCAGGTTCTGGAGCATGTAGGTACACCCAGATGGAAAACTCTAGAGAATGTTGACTAAGCCATGAACATGTCACCACCACAGGGATGACTTATACCACAGCTTTGAGGTCACTGTTTCAGGAGCTGTAAATACAGTTTTCAGCTTGCAGAGCCATCACCTTTGGGAAGCCCAGTTGTTTGCCACTGGTAACAAAGGAGGGTAAAGAACCCCCAGTTGGGGAATCTGATTTGCACTGTGAAAACCCAGGCTGAGTTAAACAGAAAACAGCTCCCCATGACCCATGTTAGCAGTCCACCTGCATGCCCAGAACTTGAAGCCTCAGCACTGAGGAGTGGACCTTGGTGGATCCCAGGGACTCACTGACAAGACAGTCTAGATGACATGTTAAGCTCCGAATTCAGGAAGAGACTCTGTCTCAAAAATCATGCGCAGAACAATGGAAGACAGCATCAGGTGTTAGCCTCTGGCCTCTACATACACCCACATAGATGAGTGCATCCCACAAACACCACGCACACACAGACATAAGGCATGCATCACACACACACCAAAAATTAATTCACAAATAGCTACTTTCCATGCACCATCTATACTTATTTAAAACAAAACTGCCCGTGTTATAAGTGGATGCAGGTTTCTCTTGCAAAACAAAACAAAAACAAAACCTTCCCCCAAACCTCCCAAGTAAATATATAAGGTGTGAGAGCTTTTATACCACCTTGGAAATCCCTGCCTCAGAGTATAAATCCCTTTCTAAGGGTGTAAGCCGGGTTGTCCCACATCTTCACGCAAATAGCAGCAGCAGCACTGACTGGTGGCCATCTTTCCATAGCGTCGCATGTGCACGCACACACACACACACACACACACACACACACACACACACACACACACGAAGCTTCCACAGTCTTTCCTCATGGAAAAGAATGCCCAGCAGGGAATTCTGCTGAGTGGATGGAGAAGCACTCGCATTAAGTCCCCATGGACAGAGGCTGAGACGTTATTCTCAAACTCTTGGCATTGCAAGTCATGCTACATGGGACACCCTGCCGCATCTCTTCCACGCCCGATTGCAAAGATCTCTTGGGGCTGCGTTCTGAGAAACATGACTTACTAGGTCAAAGCAACAAGCAAGTCATTTTTCCCCCAAAGTTGATTGTTTGTCCTATCTAAAGACGAAAGGCCCTGAGCCCGCAGATGCCTGACAGCACTTTGACCCCTCCCCGCCAAAAGCCACCTGCCCCAGTGTTCTCCTTTGACGTGTGGACACCCTCCCTCACACGTGGAAAGAAGCCCATCATTCATGACGTGGGTTGGGGGTGACATGAAGGCCTACCTACGATGCCTTCAGTTGCTCTCAGAAAAGTGCTCAGGATGGGGGCACGAGTTGTTGATTTCAATAAAAACAGTGTAAGGTCACACGAGGAGCCAGTATTTTCCCAGGACGCATCCGGCAGAATCCACTGAGGATCTAAGCATGCCTGGTTCCTGACCGACAGAGGAGGAAATGCCACCCAGGAAGATGTCCACAAGAAGTCAGGGCATTTGCTGGAGTTTGTTTGTTCTGATAGAAGCTTCTCTCTTAGTTGTGGTTGGAAGCATGCTAGTAAAGGTGTAAGTTACCTCTTCTCAGAGCGCCATGATTTCTAACAAGGCCAATCTCCACAATACGAACGTGTGAAAACCCCCACCATTGCCGATTTCAACCCCATGAACATGGCACGATGTGGTTCAATTTGGAGCTGAAAAGCGCCCATGGCCATTCTTAGTTGTCCAGCTTGGCGACACCTGGAATGGAGGGACACACCTGTGAAGGAGCTCCTGCTCCTAATCTGGACCTATGAGGCAGGAAGACACACCCTTAATCCATAGCTGTGGGCTACACCTTCTGCTGGAAGCCTACAGAAGGACACGAAAGAAAGAAGCATTTATTCTTTGCCTGTATAGCCTGCATACCTTAACTCTCCCCAGCAAAGTCAATTCCTTCACTGGAATTACAGCCTGCTTCTTCGGGATTCTGGCGTATACTGAAGACCAACTGATACATCCAGCTTGTGGACTGAACAACTACTAGATCCTCAGACCTTCCTGTTCATATCAACCTGTAGTTGGATTAGCCTTAAATATAAAATATATATATATATATGTGTGTGTGTGTGTGTGTATATGTATATATATACATATATATGTATATATATGTGTGTGTATGTATATGTATATATATATATATATATATAGAGAGAGAGAGAGAGAGAGAGATATGGAGATATGGGGGGTTCATTCCATAAGTTCTGTTACTCTAGAGAACCCTGACTAATACAGAAACCGTGTGTATTAACTCTTAATGGCCAGTGAGAACCAATACAAACTGGCCCCAGCACGTCACCGTATAGGATTCATTATATATATATATATATATATATATATATATATATATGTTATTGTTGTTAATTATGGGGTTAAGTTCCATAGAAAGTACATGAAAGCATCTTTTCGGTCAGCCAGGAAGTAAGACATCTTCTCCTGGACTCCTGCTCCGCCTTTGAGGTCTCACCCAATGCCACCACATCGACATGGACTTCCCAAGCATGGGATGTATGTTCCTAAACCTAAAACCCAGTGGATTTGAAGGACTGAGATCAAGAGTTTGGGCGTCAGCTCAGACTGGTACCCCAGGCCCGTAACCACAGCTAACTGCAGTGATTGGGGCAGGAGGGTTCCAAGTTCAAGGACTGTGTGGGCAAACTAGCATGATTGTGCCTCAAAACAGAAGACCAGAACGAGCCCTTGAGAACGCCTCTTCGCCAGTACCTTCGTCAATCATGTCAAAACCCCAATGCCAAAGCCCTCGCTTCAATCCCCAAAACTGAAGGAGAAAGCGGAGAGTTTGGACATCAGCCTAGATGAGTGTACACCCTGCCACTTGCTCACTGTGTGATCACAGGCAAGTCACTTAGCCTCTGAGCTTGTGTATCATCACCTATCAAACAGATTACAGACCCAAAAGAGTTATTCCTAAGACCGGGCAAGCTCATGTCTAGAAACACAGCGAATGTTCATTCTGTGACAGTCATTGAAGATAGAAATCTCTACCTTGAAGAGCAAATAGAGCTGTGCTCATCAGCACCTCTGAGACCTCAAGCCAGTAAAGAAATAAACACAGGAAGAGAGTTCTGCTACCAACAGGCGATAGCCATGGTGACCGGGCAAACATGCAGGTTGGGGAGAAAGGCCACACCAGCCCTCACCAATGGTGGCAAGCCTCCGGAAGCATCGGGAGGAGTTGGCAGTCACTGGCTTACCATGAGGGAAGAACACAGGGGCAGTGTGATTATCTAAGTCTGGTTTCCTCGGGCTGTGCCACAGAGACAGCATGGGCCTCCTCAGAAAATCAGGTTGGTGGAAGACTGGCTTTTGTAAGCTAATGGTCACAGGTATGCTGCTTGCCTCCTACTCTGTAGGACGTTCCCGTGAGTGCAAGGCCTCTCAATCTATGGAATGTGGTGAAGTAACTGAATATGTTGGTGCAGTGAAGCTGCCAGGTTGGTAGATCTGAGTGGGCCTAAGAGTGTGCATTCCAGCAAGCTCAGGCTAACCCTAAGAGTCCAGACACTCAGAGCTGGTGAGTTCCTGCTACCAATAGAGCCTCCCCCTAAAGGTCCTGAAGCCAAAACGCCACCACCAGCTGGGACAGGCTTCCAGAACATGACCCTGAAGGGGCCGATTCAACCTTAGATATAGAGTAAGTCTTCTCTTATCAAACAGTTTCAGAAGCCGTTCTGGATGTGCAGTTTTGCAAATGCGGAATGTGTGCAAATCTGTGCTTTTTGACCTAACAGAAGAAGAACCCTTCCGAACATGAACCCCTGCCTTGAAGGTTTCAGTAACTACATTTCCAGGATTTAAGTTCTCATCATTGTGAAAAATGCAGCAGTACTCTGACGAACACACGTAATGAGCAATTTTCTAATTTGACCATTTTTATATTTACATGGGGTTCCCAGCCACTGCTGGGAACATCAAGGTAAAGGAACTGGGCTGCGCCACCGCCCACGAGAGCAACCATTCCGGGGAAGGGGCTGGAGGAGGCAAGCCATAGCGAACTCGCACAGATCAATGCAATCTGCAAGGCTAGAGGGCTGGCCTGGAGACTACAAGCACTTGTTGCTCTTGCAGAGGACCAGAGTTTGGTTCCCAGAACCCACATGGTGGTTCAAAGCCACCAGCTTCCAGGGATCCAGTGCCCTCTCCTGACCTCTGTGGGAACCAGGCGTGCATGTGATGCACAGACCTATAGCAAAACACTCCCATACGTGAAATAGTGGGATTTTTTTTTAAAATCCGCAATAGTAACAAGCACAATCACAAGGGATTTTATGGGTGACATAACAGTGAGAGGAAAGGCTTGATGGTCATCAAGGAAGATGCTCTTAGAGTGGGCATTCAGGGTGAAATGTCTGGTTTGCCCCCCCCCCCATTCTCCTCTTCCCAGCCAACACAAGCATAGCCGTCTTCGCTCCGGTACTCAGGCCAACATCTCAGGAGTGGCAGAGCACGGCGCAATCATCCGGCCCCGTTATTTCTGAAGAAGCAGGACAGGACCACCTGGCCTGCAAGATTCCAGAGTGTGGACCACTGCAGCCTCCCTGGTGTGTGATCAGCCTTTCTTCCTCTCAGCCACAGGGCCAGGTGCACATCCTAAATCAGCCCAGAGATTTCCCTCTCGACAAGAACACGCTTCACCCCGGATTGGAGTTGGGAAAATAAGAGTAAAGTGTTTGAGAAAATGGCTCTGATTGCTCTGACATCGCCCGTCAGTGATCTCCAAGAGTAAAATGTGCTTGGAGGACCCTGGGCGCCGAGATGAGTCTGCGCCCAGCGCTCTCTCCCTTTGATTTCTGGGAAGCAGGTGCCCCAGAGAGCATGGGGGGGGTACAGTCTGAAAATGATAGCTTTCTCCCCTTGAGAGACGCCTGGCCCACCTCGTTCCCTACCATTGCCCTTTTCAAAGTGGCACCCAGATCTCTGTTGATGAACACGTGCTGTTCTTTTTAATAGCTGAGCCGGATGTGGCCCAGCTCGTGCCCTTAGCCCCATATTACAGGTGGGGCCTGTGGCTGGGAGAAGCCAATAATCCTGCACAAATCACACACCTGGAAGGCCGGGTCAGACAGGCGGAACAACGGGTTCTGATAAGCAAGGACAGTCACCGGATCCCAGGACAGCAAATCAATCAATCAGATGTGCTAAATGAGTGACCATCGCTTCCTCCTCCCCACCTCTGAAACTGGCTTCTGGCTCAGCCTCCACATGCAGCATCAGGGCCTTGCTCATTACAGCCACACAGGGAGCCAGGTGGATGGCGGTTCTGTCCAACCCGAGCTTCCCACCTTGAACAGAACGCGGAATCTACTAAAATAGGGACTGGCTGGCAAAACATCCACCCAACCACTCTATGCTCATGTACTTTATTTTATTTTATTCAAAGCAAGTCACAGAGAGACACAGACTTCAGGGGGGCAGGGAAGTGGGGTTCCATTTGGTGAACAGTACTAACGGGGAAGCACGCCAACTGGATTTTAGCCTCCGAAGCAAGGTGAAGAGTGGACGCCCCTTTCCCTGGCCGCTTCTGATATTCCATCCCGGCCTGCTTATTTGCCACTGAGAAGGAAACATCAGAGACTGGTTCTGCCTAACCTGGCCTCTCCTTTATCAGTAGCTTTGCAGAGGGAGTGCTGAGGGCTTCCGAAGGCCTACAGGGATCTGGAGGCGTCTTATGTTCATTTAGCCTGCCGCTTGAAGTCGCAATAGACTTCAGGTCGCCTTGGAAGTCAGCATTAGCGGAAGGCTTCTATCTTCCTGATTGGACCTGAATATTTAAGATTCCGAAAGCTTGTCTGGGCCCAGATTTAATTTTGAAAGGGGAAGGAGGTTGCTTTTGAACTTCAAGAAGGTGCCGGCAGCTCAGCAGGGGCTGCCTTAGCAAAGGAGAAAGCCAAAAAGCCCTGTGGTCATGAAAGACACGGTGGACACCAAAGCCCACTGTCGGTTAGCCTGGAATCGGGCTTCAGAAGTGCCGCTGTTTAAATACTGTGTCTAAGTCTGCAGCTCTGCCCCTTTCCCCGGCTGGATTTTAAATATTCCCTAATTTGATCACTCGAGGGAAAAGCAAGCAGAGCAGACTCAAATGAACTTCCCTGTTGATTATTCAGAGCTTTTTATTGTACAATCAAGCATAAAGACCTACACAAAGCTTGGTGGCACACCCCACCCGCACCCCAGCCTGGCACCCACCCCTGGCGTCTGTTTCTTATGTTATGGTTGTGAATTGCTAGATGCCCGACAGGCCCTGCCTCTGGGTCAGAACAGCCCCACCCACTCCTTATGGTGAGAGCTTGTGGATCTGCCACTCAGAGCCCCGCCCGCCCACATCATGAGAAGCCAGCCTTAAGCTCAGTTCATCTGACCAAGTTCGCCCCTGCCCCTCTATCTGAACACTTTGGTCCACAGACGTCAACAGGGCAGACTGTGAGTGACACCCTGCCCCCAACTATCAAAGTTGCTCCCATCACTTCATCTCTTCCAGCCCCTGCTCTGTGCAGGTTGAGAGCCAGTCAAGTGCTTGACACACCCAAAATCATCCTTCAGAGACAAGGGGATTAAAAAGGAGATGGATGGGTGGGGATGTGGATGGCTGGGTGTGTGAATGGATCAGTGTGGCTGGATGGAAGGATGAATTGTGTGGTTGGGTAGATGGTTGAGTGAATGGATGGGTGGAAAGGTAAGTAGACAGAGGACGGATGGATGGACAGACGGAAGGACGGACGGATGGATGGATGGAGAGTGGAAGGATGGAGGGATTTGAGGCCGGCAGGGTGTGTGTGTGTGTGTGTGCGTGCGTGTGTGTTTTAGTCTCTTATCCAGAAAGTTCCCAGGCCATGAGGGAAGGACTTGGAGGAGGGCACTCCAAACTCAGGATCACATCGTAAGAAAAGGGCAGAAGCCCCAGAAGCCCCGCCCCGTGGCAGGGGCCTGTGAGAGGGAGGGGCTGGAATTCTGGTCCTCCCTTCAGCTGTGAAGGGCTGTGATTATGACTCTGGCTCAAGGTGACAGTGATTGAGAGGATTCCCTGAGAGCCCAGAGGCACCTGGCACAGAACATCTCCATAACTCTGGCAGTAAGCTAAAAGCCGGTGATTTCACCATGAGACTCACCGCGCACGCGCACGCCCACACCCACCCTCCCCGGGGCGTCCAGTCGCACCGCACCCTGTGATACCCAGAAGTGCTCCTGACAGGGTGCCCGTGACCGACAGACAAAACACGGTGCAGGAAGGAAGCCACTTTCCTGTCCACCCCCAGCGTAACTGCAGCCTCACCCTGGCCTCTGTAAAAGCGCCCAAGTCCAGAATGCAAACAGATCCAGAAGTCATGCAAATATACCCCACCTCCCACAGTCCTCGCCCAGGAGAGGGCCGCCTCTCTTAGCTTCGGGTGTTTCCCCCCCAAAACCCCACCTATGGAGAACTGCCCCTCAAAAAACACTAGGGGAAGAAAATCCTACCAGGGACCGGTCCGCCTGAATTTATTGTTTCTGTAGGATTGGGGGGGGCTGTAATAAACCGAGACCCTGCACACTGAAAACTCATTAAGCTGTTTGTCATGCAGGGACCCAGGTGGCAGCAAAAGCACAATAAAGAAGATCAACAAGGACAAGTCCATGGGGCAGAGGTGGGACCACTTCGTCACAGCACCAAAGGTAACCTGGAGCCAGGGCAGAAGCGCGCACCTCACAGCCAGTCTCTGGTGGGGGAGTGGTGTGTGTGCGTGTGTGTGTGCGTGTGCGCGTGTGTGCGTGCGTGTGTGCGTGTGCGTGCGTGTGCGCGTGTGCGCGTGTGTGTGCGTGCGTGTGCGCGTGTGTGCGTGTGCGCGTGTGTGCGTGTGCGCGTGTGTGCTCGCGCGTGTGTGCGCGCGCGTGCGTGCGTGCGTGTGTGCGCGCGTGTGTGCGCGCGTGTGTGCGCGCGTGTGCGCGCGTGTGTGTGCGTGTGTGCGCGTGTGTGCGTGTGTGTGTGCGTGTGTGTGTGTGCGTGTGTGTGCGCGCGCGCATGTGTGTGCGTGTGTGCGCGCGTGTGCGTGTGTGTGCGTGTGCGTGTGTGTGTGCGTGTGTGTGCGTGTGTGCGTGTGTGCGTGTGTGTATGCGTGTGTGTGTGCGTGCGTGCGTGCGTGCGTGTGTGTGTGTGTGTGTGTGTGAGCACGCGCGCCCGCCTTCCCAAGCAAAGGGGAAACTACATGCCATTGGATTTTTTATTTTATTTTGTAAATTTTAATTAAAATGGTTATCTGGGGATTATAGAGGAAACGACATTTGGCCAAACAAGCTGGAAGGAGAAGAGAGGGAAATGGGGGATGGGCACATACTTAGTAAGATGCTGCCAGAAGGAAAGGGACTCACCTCACTCCATCTTTTAATCAATAGTCTCTCTCTCTCTGTCTCTCTCTCTCTCTGTGTGTGTGTGTGTGTGTGTGTGTGTGTCCCCTCCCTCCCCTTACTAGACAGGATAGTCTTCTAAGTCACATGTGTCTTCACTATTGAGAAGGCATTTGGAAGTCTGTCACCTTCAACCCAACCCAAAGCTCTGCCTGTCCCCAAAGCCCAAGTTCATCTACTCAACAAGCAAGCACCCAAATAATAGCAAAAAACAAAAAAACAAACAACAACAAAAAAAAAAACAGATAAAGCTGCTCATAGATGGAGCACATGGCCCTCACCCACAGAACCCACCCCACACACAGTGCCCTCCTCACCCACCCCACACACAGTGCCCTCCCCACCCACCCCACACACAGTGCCCTCCCCACCCACCCCACACACAGTGCCCTCCTCACCCACCCCACACACAGTGCCCTCCTCACCCACCCCACACACAGTGCCCTCCTCACCCACCACATGGTTAGTGAGAAGCTCATGGAAAGTGTAAAACAGGGAGGCAGGTGTTAAGGCTCAGAAGTAAAGGTGCTTGCAGCCAAGGCAGATGTCCTGAACTTGATCTCTAGGCCCTACATCATAGAAGGAAAGAACCAACTCCATCAAGTTGTCCTCTAACCTACACACACACAGACACACACACACACCTAAAATGTACAAATTTTTTAAAGTACTTCCTAGTGTAAGACCCTCAGAATGAGGAGTCTCCCAGTTTCGGTTGGTACCCCCAAGAACTCAATGTCCAGTTGCTGCAACACGCAAGAGGCTTTAATGAACAGGAAACATTTGCACAAATGGGCTCCCTCAGCACACAGGCCAGAGAGAAGCCCCATCCCCCGGGCACAGGTATTTTTAAAGGCAAAACCCACAAGCTTAGGGAGGGGGTGGGACCCTCTGTCCATTGAGTATGTGACCCTTTGAGGCCAAGGCTGGATGGTCTCGCTATTAGGATCAACAGACCTTAGGGCCTCATGGTGTGCTAATTAATCTTGTCTGGGCAAATCGGAGGTACAGTTATCTCTTTGTTTCTTAAGGACCCTATTCACCACCTGCTGACTCATTGACAGGAGGGGCAGTGTGAATTCTTGGTATCCTGCTATCTCAGGGCCTTGTGAGGGGAAGTTAGCAAATTCCAGGTCAGACTCCTTTATTTCAAGTGTGTGGGTGGGGCGGTTCTTTAACTTTACTTTTTTGTCTTTCACTAGCTTACTGACAAAAGGGCCATGTTACTCCATGAAAGCTTCTTAATGTCCCACTGGGCACTAATCCTGCACCCTGATGGGAGGAGTTGTTGGAGCTTAGGGAGGCAGAGTGACTTGCTGGGGCTCTCACAGCTGGGCCAGGGTTCCCCTGGGGCCTGTGTGTTAAACACTAGGTTCTTCAGAGTCACACTCTCCACGATAGGGCCATTCCCTCTTTCCTGCTCTTCCATCAGAGTCCTCGAGGATCCAAAAACACGCAAGAGCCTTTGTTTTCTCACACAAAGTTGCTATGGAGACACTGTGTGCATCTGTCTCTAGAGACCCACAAAGCAGCGGGAGCCATGAGCCTCAGGATTTAAAAAAAAAAAAAAAAAGTGTCCTTCCAGAATAATGAGTACCACTACAGTTGTATTCTCACAATGGAATCTCCCACGGAGCCGTCCATTCTGGGGGTGGCAGGGCACTGGACACCCACTCTAGCTCATTCCAATCTGTGACTCTGGATAAACCCTTCCTTCTCCTCACCTGACCTCAGTTTACCCCTCTGCAAAGTAGAGGTCGGGAAAGAGACCCTGGCCAACAGTCCCCCGGTGGGTTTTTGCTGTGCATAGCCCTCCTCAGTACCAGGCAGTGTTCCTGAGGGAAATCTCATCGACAGAAAAATGGGGCTGAGCAGGACAGAGCAGGGGATGGTTAAGTCTGTGGCAAAGCAAAGCACAGTCAAAGGGAAGGTGGAGAGACTCATATTACCACATGCAAATGGCAGCCAGGTGCAGGGGTAGGGGGTGGGAGGATGGAGGTGGGAGGGTGGGGGGAGGGGGTCACTATTTTGAACAAAAACCAAACACTCAGGCCTTTTCTATAAAAGTCTCCAAAATTGTAAAGAACGGTGGGTGGCTAAATATGTCTCCCCACGGCATCCAACCCCTGCTTCTTGGAAAGCATAAGGATTCACTCAAGGGAAACTTCCCATATTTAAATAAATAATTAAAAAAAAAAAAGCCATCATTCCCTCCTGAGGCAGAACATAGTGGCAGCTGGGTCACATGGCTCCTGAGCAAACTGTGAAAGCCAGGAAAGCCACCTGGGGACCTAAGTCAGGGAGAGTCAGTTCAATAAAGGGCAGGCGACACACGGAAGCCCGTCACGGCTGCCTCCCCCAACATTTTATCTTCCTGACGCTCTCAATTAATCAGAAGTGTCAGCCCTTGGCTTAGGTCCCTGGCTGGGGTGGTTAATTGAATGTTAATTAATGACGACTTTAGGGGCTCAGGGGAGGTGCAGGGACGATGGCAGTTACAAGGGTCCTCTTGAGGCCACCTCAGTCTGTCCCCACATTTTATAAATGAGGAAACTAAGACTCTGAGTTCAGGGCTCCTTGCAAGACCCCCGGTTGCCCCCTGAGACACAATCTGTTAAACCTTCAACGTGGTGTTGGCCTAAGGAGTCTGGTCTCCAGCACCAGAGACTCGGAAGTGGCTGCTGAAGCGGGAAGGGTAGGAGACCTCCGCATGTATGCGCTGTCCCTGAGCTCTGACATCCCCTCTCACAGTGGGCAGGGGGTGCGGAGTGTCCTGCCAGGCTGACAAGCTCAGGCTGACAGTCAGGGCAAGGGAAGCTTCGACTGTTGAATTCCCCCATCCATCGTTTATGTAGCCTGGGGAATGCCTTGGAAAACTGGAGAAAGCCAGTCCAGACTCCAGTCCCCCAGCCCACCTCACGCTGAATCCACCTTCTGTGTGTGCAAAGAGAAAATTGGGGAAGGGAACAAAGCACAGGAAGAAATGGCAGGCAAAGCCCCACAGCCTTAGCCCTCACCTTTAACCTCCCCCTGTGTAACTAGGAAGTCCCTCCCCACTCCTAATTCGGGGGAAGTTCAGCCCATATTCAAGGCTCCAAAGCATCCCTGACAACACTTCTGCTTCCGTGCAGTTGATTCCCGAAAGCAGCCCTGCTGAGTGCACTTCTCCTGAGTCCTGTCGCGGTGTTAAGTCTTGGTGTGGCCTTCATGTCCCCTGCGGTCCCTGCCACCTTCCTTCCTAGGGCATTAAACACTAAGAGTTTCATACAAACACGACACCACTCTGAATCTCTGAAGGCTCTCAAGGAAAATTGTTTCTGGGTCCAGGGAGCCGGCTGGGTGAGTAAGAAGGCATGCCGCACAAGCATAAGGGCCTGAGTTCTAACCCCCAGCACTTACAATGTGTGCTTGCTTGCAGCCCCGGCACTGTGGGGGGAGAGAGGTGAAGGCCAGCAGCGCCCAGCTCCAGGGTCAGTGAGAGACCCTGTCTCAGGGGGGTAAGGGGAAGTGATGGAGCAGGGCTCGTGATGTTTTCATCTGCTCCCTTCTTTCAATAACATTCTCTCTCTCTCTCTCTCTCTCTCTCTCACACACACACACACACACACACACACACACACACACACACGGTTTAAAATTTAATCATCTCTATTGAATTATTAAATTCACTGATCTCTTGTACGTCTCTGCAACCACCATGGCATTTTAGGTGATACAAAGAATAATCAGTACAGGGCCAATGGCACTTCCAGTGACACACAGAGAAAGGAGTCTCTTCTGATGACCTTGGTTGGTGACGAATGGTCGGTCACTCCAGGCCCAGCGTGTGTCCAAGGTGTTTACAAGGGTCCAGGAAGAGCTGTGTGTCCTTTGACACTCCACCTTGAGCTCAGCAGAGATCAGAAACACCACTTCCCTTTTCCTCCCTCCCTCCCTCCCTCCTTCGTCTTCCCTCCTCCTCACTCCCCTCCTCCTTGTCCTCTCCTTCCCCCTTCCCCCTTCCTATCTTCATCCATCCTTTCTGACATCCCTCTTCTCTCTCTCTCTCTCTCTCTCTCTCTCTCTCTCTCCCCCCCCCCTTCAGACCAAGAAATTCAAAGCCCCCGCCATTCGCACAGCCAGCCGCAAACCCAGCCGGAGAGGGTCCACTCTCAGTCTGACCCGGACCAGTGGGGGTTCTTCTCCCCAGAGCAGCATGATTTCTGTGAACCCCGGCTCCGATGAACCCCCAAGTGTAGCCACCGGCAGTAAAGACATTGAAGACAATGAGTCATTGTCAACTAAGCCAGACGAAGAAACCCTCCATGCCAGTAAGTCCCAAAAGACCCCACTGTTACCTGCCTTTACATCTGTAGCCTTTGAGCCTCTCCTGCCTGTCTTCCAGTCCCTCCCAGCAGAGACAAAGAGGTCAAAGGTCACCTGTTTTGTTCAATGTCTTTGGGTCCTTTCCTCGACAGCCCTTCCCCCAAAAGGCTGAAAATATCCCCTCTAAGTTGTGTCACTCTGAGCCACCACCACCACCACCCGCACAGGTCACAGCCACGATCACCATTCGCCTTCATAACATTTTAAAATATATTTTCCTCTGTCTCATTTTTCTATAGAATTTCATCCTTTCCACATTTCATGAATGTAGAAATTACGCTCAAGACATTTCTGCCTTGTTTTCCCACGTTCTTCAAATTCGGTACCCAGACTTTTGCCTGGTTTGGGCTACTTTGTGTGAGAGAGAAGAAACAGCCACTCATATAGCCCAGGATGGCTGTGGCTCACAACCCTCCCGCCCCTTGCCTGAATGCTGGATTGAAGGTGTTTGTGTGCAACCACACTCAGCTGAAGGCATCACGCATTTTAACCACGCGTTGTAAAATGTACGACCAACACTTTTATGAGGTTGACAGAGCACATACCTGTGCATCTGGCACACTGTCACAATGCTCCCATCAACTCACCAGAAGACACATCCACCCATTGTCCCCGCCCCTTCCCAGTCTGAACCCGGGGGGTGGGGGGTGGGGGACATGAATCTTTCCTACACAGAAGTGTGCGTTTTCTCTGTCACCTTCAGTAATTCACAATGCAATGTAGTCTCCTTGCGAGTCCACTGAAAAGCCATGGGTCTTCTTCTAAGAAAGAAATCCAAAACCATGAATGCCATCCTAGGGTGGGGAGACCTCCAACCTCAGGAAGAGAAACTGGCTGCTGGGTCCCGCAAACCTGCCTTGAGCAACTATATTAAAAATCAGATGTGTAGTAGGGCCTCAGTGGGTAGAAGGACCATCCTTGCAAACACAATGACCAAGGTTCAAATCCCCAGAACCACACAAAAGTCAAATGCATAGCTCCCTAGTGTCTGTCATCCCAGCATCCCCCACAGAGAGACAGGAGGCCTAGGCAAGAGTCCCTGGGAGCTGATGGGTCACCTAGCCTCATAGACACAGTAGGAAAAGGAGATCCTGTCTAAACATGTGGAAGGTGAAGTCGGACATCTGAGCCAGGGCTGGCCTGGGAAGACTTGGCAAAGACGGGGTTCTGTTTAGTTTCAAGGGGGTCGGAGTGGATCTAAGGTCCGGATAGTGCCTGGCTTATCAGAGCCAAAAATGTGCAACACTCCAGAGATGCAGGGAGGAGCCAGGACCTGTGTGTGAACAAGGGCCCACGGAGGACTCGGAGCTCTCGCTGCCGCTCTCTGGAGCAAGAGGAAGTCAGAGAGTGATTTCTCTGGATCGCTAGAACCTCCTTCTTCAACGTCTGTGTGTTGAGGGCCTAGTATGTGGAAGGAACGTTGTGATCGTGCATTTAGGAAGGAAAACAAGGAAGGTGGTAAAGGAGGAAGCGGTGGTGATGGCTCAGCCGGGATGGTCCACGGAGGCCCTGCTCACCTCTGACATTGAGCTGAGACCTGAGGAGATGGACCGAGAAACCATTCTAAGTGAAATACTGGGTTCAGCGGCCCCGCCCCCACCGGCTCAGCATCTTTCCCGTGATGCCCACGGCCTCTAAGACATCCTCTTACTCGGGATGCTTATCCCTGGCTTGGCATTGCTTCTTCACGTCTTTAGCAGGTCGACCTCACCAGTAGACTTTCCCTACAGATTGAGAAGACCAAGCAAGGATGGGTAGAACGACTTTCAAAAGTGTCGTCACACATCTGCTTTACCCTGTCCTCTGAGTTGGCCAGCGTCAATATCACTGGCTGGTAGAGCTCTCGCCACCTCACCCAGTGTGAAGCAGACAGGGTAGAAAAGCGCCCAGACCCCGGCGTGTATAAGCAGCCGACTCCCCGAGATTTTCCTCTGACCCCCACGCAGGGTGGAGGAGAATTCTAGACAGCCTCATTGTCTAGAACTCAGTCACAGGGCTACACCCAACTGCATGTAAAGGATGCTGGGGAAATGATCTGGAAAATGTTCCCCTTCCAGATGGAAAACGAATGAAGTCCCTAAGCCTAAAGAGTGGAGGGGAAAGGAGATCAGAGTCCCCGCAACCCCGCAGACCCCGCAATCCCCGCAGACCCCGCGGGGTCTTCACACCTTCAGCCTGGCGTACACTAGCTGTGCAGCGGCTGCTGAGAAATGTTCCCACCAGGGATCTGTCTCTGGCGGGGAGAGCCCTTCTTCAGCTGCTCCACTCTTTCCGTTCATTAATACCGTTGCCTCCGCCCGTTTGTCACAGCGGTGACAAAGGCTGACTGGTTTCCCAGCCTAAAACCTACATGAAATTGACATCGGGCCCACTGGCTGTTCCGAGACAGCTCCACATCGCTGATATTTTCCAGCCACATAGAAAGTATTAGATTACATCTCTAATGCAAAGAGGATAGAGATGTAGTTTATAAAGTTGGTAGAGTGTCCGTCCATCACGCCCATCACAGTTGCCAAGCAACTGACTACCTCGCCCAGTGATGTGATGACTAAGCACCCTGGACAGCTACCGGCTTACTAAGCACCCTGGACAGCTACCGGCTTACTAAGCACCCTGGACAGCTACAGGCTCCTGGAGAAGGTGTTCCCCACTGGTTCTGCCCTCAAGCAGGTCCCTGATCGCAGTGGGGAAGAGGGGGAGGAGGGGACAAGCAACCGTGTGTCCTTGCAAAACACTGTGGCTAACTCGGGGCCCTTGTCTTTTGTGAAACACACAGCTCACTTATGTTTCATTCTCCAACTTTTAGGTATATTAGCTTCTTAGGGCTACACAACAATATCTTGCCTCAATGTAGTGGGCACCTGACTTCCAAAACCATGGTGTCAGTGATTTGTGACACCTTCCTTTTTCCAGCCTTCTAGATGGTGCATGCTGAGAAGACTTGACACACACACCACTCACGTCTGCCTCTGTCACCACATGGCATGCCCTCCTCAGATGTGACCCTCTCCTATTACAAGGACACCAGTCATTTAAGAGCCCACCACACTACACCACAGGGTAACCTCATCTTTACCCGTCGCAGTTACCATAACTGCTTCCAATCAACATCACATTCTGAAGACTTGGAGACTAAGAGACAGGAGTCAACTCATGGTGTCCAGGCCTTGAGACGTATCCAAATAGTAAATGGAACAGAACATATTCAGCAGAAAAACAAAAGCTGCTTTCATCGCTTTCCATCACTAAGACACCCAGGGGGAACTTCTCGAAGAGAGGCAGGATCTGTCGTGCTGCAAGGTTTCATTTCCTGGGCAATGACATCATTGCCTCAAGAACGTGGTGAGGCAGAGCATCACACCTCACAGAGGCAGGAAAGATGGGGCTGGACCACGCTGGGTCCGGTAATACATACGCTCCCACTAACCTGTTTCCTCCGACTACACCCTGCCTCCTAGCAGCTCGTTCAGAATGAACTCACCACTGGATTAGCGCACCTGCAAAGTTTACACCCTCCTGACTCATGCCATCATTTGCAAGAGCCCCATGAGCCAGGGACCAAATCTTCAGCACACTGAGGACGTTGCACTTCAAAATCATGACAAGGGTCAACTGGCATGCTGAATGGGGTGGAAATCATGAGCCTGTCTGGAAAATTGGTCAGTGAGAGGCAGAAATGGGGACAGTGTGGCCATGTCCTAGATTCTTTCCAAAAGAAGTAGGGATCTGAATGTTGATGCAGAAACTTAGTTTTCAAAGGCTGGCACGAATATCAAATCAAAATACAACTGTGATCTGGATTAGGCTGTAAGTCACCAGTTTGGAAAGTAATCAGTCAGGGTCTCCCAAACCTTATTTCTTGTCAGAATCTGGGACAGTTTTCTCTAGTTGAAGCAGAGTTTAGAATCCTTAAGGGGCCTGTAAAGATGACTCAGTCAGTAGACTCCTGGCTATGTAAACACGATTACATCAGTTTAGTCCCCTCACCCACATAAAAAGCCAGGTGTGGTGGAGCCTGGGCGCAATCTCAGTGCCCAGCAGAAAGAGACAGGAGGACCTCGGTGGCCAGGCAGTCTAGACAGTCAGTGAGCTCCAGGCTCAGTAACAGACTCCTGCTTCAAAAACATGGGGTAGAGATCAAAGACACCCCACACTGACCTCTGGCCTCATGCATCATGTCCACACAGGAGAATGTACACACACACACACACATACACATACACACACACACGCACCCATGCACGCACACACACACAGAGAGAGAGAGAGAGACAGAGAGAGAACAGGTACACACCATGTACAGAAGACAAATTAATTTTAAAAAGACCCTTCAAGGCCTCTCTCCAGGCAGGTGGGGCCCTGCTGCCAAGAAAAGAATCAGGAAATGGTTTTAAGTCAAGGAGTGACATGGTCAGATGTGTAGCCTGGCAGACCCTATGAGCTGCCCCTTCTGGGGCACAGTGGGATCCCAGTCTGACCCCCCCGCCTGCTCCCAGAGGCCAGGCATGAGGTTCATGCACCATCCTGTCTCCTGTTCTCATTAGACCTCCAGAAGCTTCTGGAATTGGTCCGAGAAGATGCCCGAAGAGCGATGATGATGTTAGAGATGTACAAGAAAGTTCCCAGGTACATTACTTTAATTCCTTGGGCAATTGAAGGATGTCAATCAAATAGCCATAACATGATGGACACATGGGGGGGTGGAGGAGAACATCACTCTGCCGACCATGTGCAGTCACAGTCAGAAGGGGGCCACATCACCATCAGGGAATAGGACAGCTAAAATGGGACAGAAAAATATTTTTTTGTTACGAGTGGTTTTCCCACCAGCCTGGTTCCACGGCCACATCAGCCCCAAATAACACACAGAGATGCTGTATTATATATAAAGCTGTTAGTCTGTTACTAGTGTTTCTTATTGGCTAGCTCTAAATATTAACCCATTTCTATTCATCTAAGTATTTCCACGTGGTCTTACCTTACCGGAGAGAGGGTCCGGAGTTGTTCTCCCTCAAGTCTCTACATGTTGAATCTCCTTACCTCTCCCTGAATCCTCCTTGTCTCCTAGTCCCGCCTATCTTGCTTTCCTATTGGCCAACGGGACTTTATTCATTAACTAATAAGAGAAACATATTTGCAGAATGACATCCATCAGGGAAAAGCGTACATTGGTGAGGGGCTTGGTCTGGAAGTCCTCGCCTAGAGGACCTGGAATCTTATCCTAAAAGCCTGGGTATCTCTAGATGACCCAAGCAGCAAATAGAATGACTGGTTCATTAGAGAGTAGTGCTGGGCTGAAATCTGAGGTGTGGGCCTTCCGGTGAAAAACCCCGCCCATGGACTTGTAGCCACTATAAACGCTCCAGAGAGAATGCAGAGTCAGAGTTCCCGTCTCAAGTATAAATCCCTCTGAGCAGGCAAATTAGTTACAGAAAATAAATGGAGCCCAAGAAAAGGTTTATCATGAGCCTCGGCCTACTGGGAAGCCAGCCATGACTTATTGGTTATTGTTAGTGCTGTAATTACCCTTCTCCCAATGTTTTCGAATACATCACACCCTACGTCTGCCTGTTCATGATGAATCTGTCTGCTGAGGCCTCAACTCAAGCCCATCCCCTAAGGTGGCACTTGGGAGGCATTCTGAGGTACTGGCCTGGTCAGCGTTAGGTGACAGACAAAAGGTGACAAACACAAAGGCTCATAGATGGAGCTTGACTCAAGTAGGTAGAGATGCAAAGCCTGATGCCGAGGACGACGCCTCTGTCCTCCCCGAGCTCCTGCAGAAGTGAGACTGTGAAGCACCAAGGCACAGCTTTGGGACCTAATAGCCTAGCGAACCAGCCTCTCCATCCCATCATCCACTCTCCACGTGCTACCGGGCACACTGTTTCACCCGAGTCTTGTTGGTATATCACAAAAGGGATCACCTTAGCAGCTCACCCCAAATGGTTATAGTGTCTTTGTGAAGGCCTAGGAATATTTTCTAGAACTTATGTCTCTCTCAGCGAGTCCTTAGAGCATCTATGGGTATGATGCGCTTACAGGGCAGCTTCCTCCTGGCACCAGTAGCTGCATTGGTAGGGCAACGCTGACTTGTATTCTTTATGCGGGAGACAAACCTTTACAAACTAGTGAACCTGGCCAAGACAGGGGCATGAGATGTCACCGTTGTTACCAGTTGGCTTTCGATTGCTGTGATGAAACAGTAAAGCCAACTTGGGGAGGAAGGGGGTCTATGTCCGCTTACAACCCCAGGCCACACACAGCCCAACACAGGGAGGAGTCAGGGCAGGAACCTGGAGGCAGAATCTGAAGTAGGAGCCAAGCTTGCTTCCCATGCGCAGCTTGCTCGCTTTGCTTTCTTATATTACCCAGGACTGTCTGCCTAGAGGATGGCGCCACCCACAATGGACTGGACACACCCACGTAAGTCACTCGTCAGTAAAATCCCCTTCCGACGCGCCTGCAGACCAATACTATGAAGGTGTTTTCTCAACCGAAGCTCACTCTTCCCAGATGATCTAAGCTCTGTCAGGCTGACAAAAGGAAAAACTACCCAGCACAGTCTACCTCCATCTATGGCTTATAAAGCCCATGGCTCTGGGGAACCCTGTCACATGTGAACTCTGCGTTCAGTTCAACAATAACCATAGTTACAGAGAAATGATAGAAATGTCCCTTCCCCATCAGTTCTTCCTAGGAGAAATACTGAAGCTTACGTGAGACTAATAGGGAGGGACACACACCAAACTAGCTCACACAGAGGTCAGCCGACAGGCTGAGAGGTTGACAGAGACCTCTGACACCCAATCCCAGCCTCAAGGCTGCAGGGGGATGGCTTCTTTGTAAACTACAGCAATGCTTCATACATGATGCTGAGGACCAGAACAGGCGTGTTCATGAAGACAGTGGTGCCTACAGCTCATCTCAGCCCCACCGAGGCAGGACCTCCAGAGCAGCTCCGGTTTCTAATAAATAATTTAAGTGGGCACCGTGTGGGAGTCTGGGAAACACTACAGGTGTAGAAGCCCATGCAGTGTGTGGTTCTGGGTTTCTCGGTGGAATCTGATGAGTGGGAACTCTAGGTGGGCACTGTGAGAGAAGAACTCTAGATAAGGATGTGACCCTAGGTGAGTGTAGAGTACTAGGGGTGCTTTCCAAATCCCCCGTGTGCGTGTGTAATTACTGTCGTGTATGTGAATTTCTCGGTGTGCTTGTAATTCTAAAAACGTATATAGAATTGTGGTGTGTGGGTGCATGTGTGTGCATGTGTGTGATTGGGTTGTTTCTGAGTTAGGTGCGACTCTGGGGTTCTGTGGCTCTCCAGAGGAGGTGGCCCATCCTAGCATTTGTCTGTGTGTGAGATTCTGGGGAAGTGAGGGCTTCCGCCTGCAGTTGCTGAGCACAGCTTAGCCCGGCACAGCCAAGTCCCTGAACATGTGTCCCAGAGCCTGTATTCTAAGCGAACTCCCTGGATGTTCCCTCCACTGTGGCTCTGTAACTCACCCTCGGGCAGACAACTGGTCCCGCTGCTGCAGGGGCCCCTGGCACCCGACACTCTGTCACAAGACTCCTCCTGCTTTTCAGCATCGTGTCTATAGTCAAGCAAATCAAGAGTGATTCTGCCTGGAAAGAGTGGCAGACCGGCTACAAGTCGAGGTAGGAAATCCTGAAGCCTGCCACAGGGGGATGCAGGGTGAAGAGGCAGGGAGCCCAGCCAGCCCTAGTCCAGGGCTACCACACAGATGGGGTGGGGGCAGGGGCAGGGGCGGGGGGGGGGAGCTGGGAGGGGCATCTCTCCCTTTTGTTTTATTTACTTAGTTTTTCCCGAGACAGGGTTTCTCTGCCTAGCTTTGGATCTCTCTTCTTTTGACCTCGCTGAACATTAGCTCCTTTTGCTGCTGGGTCAGCAGCGAGTACCCAGACACTTCCCAACGTTTATATTCCATGCTTTTCACTAAACTCTTCCAACCATGGAGAAACGCTGTTGGGAGAGCATGGCCCAGGGCCCCCTTCCCTCCTGTTTTAAAATGCAACCCCAGTCTGGCTGTTTAAGGTCTGTAGCATAATACTGTGGGGGCACATAAGCACCGGCCTGGAGGACCTTACTCTGAATTAACTTCACTCCTCCCCTTTGAGTAGTCTGTCACGTGACATGGAGTCGGTCCCCTGATTCTTCCGAGGTCCCCTCTGTGGGCCAGGAGCTGTGCCAGGTCCGGAAGCTTCAGTAAGCAAATGAAACAAATGCATGGTGCACCCCTACATCTGAATGGGACGCCCTCGTAGTTTGGGCCCTTAAATAGTCCAAGGGAGCCGGTGGTGCCTTCCAGAAAGATGCCATAAATGCACGTGCTACATGATGAGGGTTCTGAAGGTGATACGTGTTGCTAGATTACCTCCCAATTTGAAGCATAGTCTTCCAGGAGCTTAACGATGCATTGCAGAGTAGGGCTGTCCAACGGGGCTGACAAACACCGTGAGTTTGCATTAGTGTCAAGTGTAAACGGTTCCTGAGACTCTCTCCCACAATTGTCATGGCTATCCAAATGCCCATCATTTCTATCTCAGTTAAAGACTAGTTAAAGTAGAGACAAGATTCCCCCTCCCCCGTATCCATGAGCCTCCTGGGTTCTCCCCACATTTGAGAACTGATCAATAGTAAGTAAGCATTCCTTGATTGACCCCATACAATCGTGGCTATGAAAAGTCTTCTGGAAGACAGTAGAGCACATTTGCCACCAAGGCTCTATGGTGGGCAGAGATGAGTATCCAAGCTGAGTACTTACGCAGAACTGAGACAAGCCAGCCTCTCTACAAGGGGAGGAGATGAGGGAGCAGAGGGACCAGCACCTGCCACCTCCTCTCTGACAACAGTCTACAGGAGAAAGGCTGGATGGACACGGTCTCCTCCTGATTCACCCGCAGGGGTCAGGGCAGCTGGGATCTGCTAACAAGGCCTCCTGTCCATCTGAATATTATTACTGGGGCCCTGCCGCCTCTCAGATGGGATAACACTTTTTCCATCACCTACAAGGCCTACAAACACCTCCAGGTCCAATCCCAGAAGCTTCTAGAAAAAGCAGCAAATGCCAGGGCCTGAGAGATGGCCAAGCCAACCTCCCAAGAGTCCCCAAAGCTGTGAAGTGGGAAGGATATAAGCCAACCACTGCAGGAGAGCATGACAGCCTTGTCCCAGACCCCACAGAGGAAGTGGCCAAGCTCACTATGTGCTTATTTGGGAGAAACAAGGGGAGACAGGGATGTAAATGAGTACTAATGAAAATGTCACTCAGTGTGCCAGGTGTGGTTAGCACAGGCCCTTGATATCCATACTCAGGAGGCAGAGGCGGGCAGGTATCTGTGAGCTCAAGGCCAGCCTGGACTACATAGTAAGACCCTGTCTCAAAAGCAAAAAAAAAAAAAAAAAAAAAAAAAAAAGAAAGAAAGAAAGAAAAGAAAAAGAAAAAGATAGTGCTCGGGCATAGAGACATGGCTCGGTTGGTAAAATGTGCTTGTCAGGAAAGCATGACGGCCTGAGTCTGAATCCCCAGGGCCCCCATTAAAAGCAGGGTGTTGTGACAGCATGTATCTGTAACACACGCGCCCACACACACACACACACACACACACACACACACGAATACATGCACACACTCACACATGTGCATACACACACATAAATATTCAAGTGTCCCGAGAGAAAGGCGGAAAGGCAGCATGCAGGGGTAGATCTGGTCTGGAGTGATCATCTACTTGTGGCAGCCGGCCTAGCTGGAGGCACAGCGTGGTACAGCCATGCAAGGGATCTAACTGTTCCATACCTAGAAAGAGTCCAAGGATGTGATAAGTTGGGTGATCCCAGAGGAGACAATTGACAACCAGGCTGGACTCCGAATCTGGACCCTGGACTCTCGTCTGCCTCCAAAACTGAGGCATCTGAGTCTTGGGCTCAGGGGCACACTGGTCAGGGTCCCTAGGAACAGAACTGATAGAAAGAATGGACACACACAGCAGGGGCGTTTATTAGAAGGGCTCAAGGCTGTGGGCCTGGCTAGTCCGTCAATAGCCGTCCCCCTAGGGAAAGGCCGAGACCCAGGACCTGTTCAGTCTCTGAGGCTGGATGTCTGCTGGTCTCAGTATGTGTTGGTTTCCGGAAGAAGTGGGTTCTAATAGCAGTGAAAGAATGCCTCAGCAGCAGGGTAGGGAACCTGACAGCAAGTGAGGCAAAGCAAGCTTCCACCTCCCATTTCCTTCCATGTGTGATGGCACCAGAAGGTGTGGCCCAGGCTTAGTGTGGGTCTTCCCATCTTTAATGACACAACCAAGAAGACTCCCTGAAGCTTGAGTTTTAGCTCACCCCAGGTGTCGTCAAGTTGGCAACTGAGATTAGCCATCACGGGGGCACAGCGGATGAAAGGGTCACCTGTCCCAGGGAAGAAGGGCGCTAAGTCCCAGTGCCCAGGGAAGAAGGGCGCTAAGTTCCAGTGCCCAGGGAAGAAGGGCGCTAAGTCCCGGTGCCCAGGGAAGAAGGGCGCTAAGTCCCGGTGCCCAGGGAAGAAGGGCGCTAAGTCCCGGTGCCCACGAAGAAGGGCGCTAAGTCCCGGTGCCCACGAAGAAGGGCGCTAAGTCCCGGTGCCCACGAAGGGCGCTAAGTCCTGGTGCCCAGGGAAGAAGGGCGCTAAGTCCCGGTGCCCAGGGAAGAAGGGCGCTAAGTCCCGGTGCCCAGGGAAGAAGGGCGCTAAGTCCCGGTGCCCACGAAGAAGGGCGCTAAGTCCTGGTGCCCACGAAGAAGGGCGCTAAGTCCCGGTGCCCAGGGAAGAAGGGCACTAAGTCCCGGTGCCCAGGGAAGAAGGGCGCTAAGTCCCGGTGCCCAGGGAAGAAGGGCGCTAAGTCCCAGTGCCCAGGGAAGAAGGGCACTAAGTCCCGGTGCCCAGGGAAGGTCTCCTCTGGCCCTGAACTCTGGGAGACTAGACACGCCAGGAGGGCCTCAGAGGGGCCTCGCGTGAGAAACAACCAGAAATTGCCCCTTGGTGTTTCAGCGAGAGATCCAGCACGACGAGTGGAGAGAGCCACACCCTGTTGGGCCAGAAGAAGTCAAAGGGGTAAGCCAGGCGGGGAAGTGGACATCGTGGGCAAGGGGCTGACCTTACCATGGTAACTGCATCCCTTGTCTCCCCGGGAAATGGGAGAGAGAGACAAGGGTCTCACAGGCCAGATCCTGGGCAGCCCTGTGGAAAAGGAGCACCCCGGGCTATGCCCTACATTCATGGCCTTGTTCACCCCCCATGTCCAACCCTGCCGAGCAGGAGCATCATCTCATTTCGCAGAGTGACAGGCTGAGGGTTGGGCACATGCAATGTCCCAACCGAGGCCACGCAGCCGAGAAGGGATGACACTGGAGGTGGAGGTTCCCTGCCTTCCACATCTGCTGGGATCACGTGCCAGGCCTGAGCCACCACCCTTTCTCCCAGCCTCCAAAGGGGACACGGGGGTGGGGGGTGGGGAGGCTCCACTTGAAAACAGAGCCCAGTTAGACACCAGAAGTTCCCACTTCAGGGCGCCTGGCACTCAGGCGGGACCCATGAGGCTCCCAGGAGCATCCGCTGGACCCTGTCCCCCAATGGTTTCTCTTGTCAGCAGGCGTGCCAACCGTGACATCATCCACTCCAAGAGCGGGGTGTGTAGCACTATGCGGGCCAAGTTTTACAGCGTAGCCCAGGAGGCCGGCTTCTGCCTGCAAGACAAGATGGAGATCCTCATGAAGTAAGGGCACACACATGCCCAGCTCACTGCAAGGGCATGTACCTGGTACTGTATGGGAGGGGTGAGGTAGGAGGTGAGGAGCAGGAAGAGGCAGAGGAGGGGAAAGCGAACGGGGAGGAGGCCACAGACTAGGGACCCCGATTCAGGTTGGGGAGTCGGGGAGGTGGCTTTAGGGCGGCCATGAAGGAAGCAGAGAAACCCAGAAGAGGGGAAAGTAGGGACAGAAATGCTCCAGGTGGCGACACCCACGTCACACAGAGCCAGTGGAGTGATGGGGACGGCCTTCTGCACAAACGTTTCTCTTATTGGCTGATGCATAAAACACTGTTTGGCCAATAGAGGCAGGAAGGTAGGCAGGGCTAGGAGACGAGGAGAATGCTGGGGAAGGTAGGAAGGGAGAGCCCGCCAGAGAGACGCCATGGAGGGACCGGGAGGATAGGATGAGCCAGGCGTTCTCCGGTAAGATAAGGCCACGTAGAAACACACAGATTTATAGAAATGGGTTAATGATGAAGATGGAGCTGGCCAATAAGAAGCCATCGCCCAACAGTTTAACAATTAATTTAGCGTCCGTGTGCTTATTTGGAGCTGAAAAAAGGGCATTGGGACCTGGCAGGACAAGGAACCCAACAACAGGAGGCCCCCAGGACCCTCCTCCTCCCTACTGCAGCCCATGCCCTAACCAAGATGAGCATGTGTCCCAGGGAGCTCACCCATTCCATCAGGGCTTCCAGGTGACCCCTTTACACTCCCTGCCCTGCTCCGAGCTCGCCATCCAGAGAGACAGACGAGTACGAGAATCTACCACCCGGGGGCGGCGAGGGCCAGCAAGGATGGGGAAGAGCAGAGGGCTAAGGGAACACAGAGAGAGCGCTGGTGTCCCTCCTGACCCGGGAAAGCCACCTGAACATCCCAGGGTGATGAATGGCAGCACCATCCTCAAGGCGCTGCGTTAGGCAGTGTGTGGCCCGCCACTGAGCTAAGAGCTTTGCAGGTACCCACCATCTATGGTTCCAAACAAGCCCACAGGCGAGGAGGGGCTTTAGGTAGACCCCTGAGGATGCCACAAGCACCCCCCCAGAGAAGTCTCATGCCAAAGGCCCTGTATGTGAAAGCAGTAAAGGTGGAATGAGGGCCCAGAGAGTCTGGCTAGGAAATTAAGGAGGGGAGGAACTTCGAGAGAAGGCAAAGTCCCAGACGGCAGAAATGGGAACTGCCCGGTGCCAGCTGCGCTGGCTCTTGTGATGCTTGCTAGGGGGGACGAAGCTGCAGAGAGCTAGACAGAGTCCAGATCACGAAGGCTTCCCTGGCCTACCCCCTCCCAGTGTGGAGAGCACACTATGTCCCGAAGTCTCCCATCTAGAGGAAGAGGCATCCAGTTCTAAGCACTTGTAAAGTACAGAAACTGGACAACCCCGGACCTTAAGGGATGGGTTGCTCTAAGTCCTTTACTCTAAGCAAGATGCAAAGCATCGTGCACGCGCTAGGTGTGAGGCATTGGGCACGGGCATAACCATGGCACGGATTCTCTGTGGAGAGGAGGCATGCGTGCAAAGTGATGAGCCTGGGGGAGAGGACATCCAACAGGAGTTAACACCTGCTGGGTGCCTCGTCTCTGAGAGGGAGGCGGCAGAGGCATTTCAGCACCTCGGAGAGAGCTAAGGCCCAAGAGGCGGAGCATGATTGACAGTCTTAGAGGAGCCCCACAAAAGACTAAATGGTGGGCGGTATTGAAAGAGCTGGCCAGTAGCTGGGGGGCGGGGAGGGCGGGGCTCTGTGTCTCTAGTTTCTCTCCCTCTTCTTCACACCGCTTCACAGGCGCCAAGAAGAACGGGGACTCCAGAAGTTCCACTCTTTTATCCTCGCCTCGAATTATCAAAAGGATTTGGCAAAGATGAGGCACCAGGTCTCGATAGTGAAGGGGGACGCGGAAGAGATTGCGGATCACTGGTAAGACCCCGAGGACCAGATAAGACCGTCCCTCAGCTTGGCGTTATGTGCTGGTTAATTCCGGGGGGTTCTTCAGCAGCCTAGAGGCACCACCTCCCGAAGACCATCGGTCACCAATCGGGTCCCCCAGATCAGGGACAACGGTCAGCCTCAGGACCATAGGTCATGAAACCCGTACCTGTCCTGGTCTTCACAGATACCACGTTTTTGGTTCGAGATGTGGAAATAAAGAGCGCTCCCTTGCCACCGCCACCACCCATGGGCAAGCATGCACACACACAACTACCCAAGAGTAATACCAACCCTGTCAATCAAATGTCTGCAGAGTCTGAGTTCTCTGAGGTTATCACTGCACACCCCTGGGAACACTGTGCCCAGGCATGTGGAAGAGGTCAGGCAGCAACATGGTGGGGGCTGGGCTCTGCTGCACGGCGGCCCATGGCAGGGTGATGGCACTGAGTATTTCAAAACAACTGAAAGGGAGGGCACCGAATCTCTCAGTGTGACAAAGTGATGAATGATTGGTGGATGCACTAAGCATCTAGATTGGGACATTACATACTGTATACAAATGCATCCAGCTGGGACATTCACTATACCCTGTCCACAAATTCTGACACTGGCTGAGTGTGGTGCCACACCACTTTAATTACAACACTCAGAAGGCAGAGGCTAAGTGGATCTCTGTGAGTTCAAGGCCAGTCTGGTGTCCACCATATGCCCCAGGCAAAAGAGTAAATTTTAAAAGTCCTGACACATGACACAAACACCCTAGAAATAGGTTCAGTGACCATGTCAATTAAAACATGATTTTTAAAAATTTAAAGGAGATGCTAACCAACCGTAAGAAATCACTATGAATCAGATGACTGATGGATGGCAGAGGCTACCCTAAGAAAGTTTAGTGTTTCATATTTTATCCCTCCAAACCCTTGAGGACACATATGAAACCCCTGTTTCACAAGCAAACTGGGTCTCAGAGCAGCGGGTTCACTTGTCCAGGGCCACACAGTTTGTAAATACTGAGCATAGGGCATGAGCCTCTGACCGATCTCCAACTGTGCATTCACTTGTAATATGGAATCGGAGTGCTGTAAACCCCACTCTGCCAGGATGAGGAAAATAAGATCTGAGAAAAAGATGAGAAAAAAAATGGAGATCTGGACCTAGACTCCCTCCCAGATCATTCCTGACGTGGAACAGGCACTTGCCAGAGTGACCCTGAGCCGTGAGAGAGATGTGGAAGCCACCCACAATGCCACACACTCCCAGGTCTTTGCTGCCCCGTGAAGGTACACAGGCCCCCAAAGACGCCCTACGTAAAGGGGAAGGGAGAGTTACTTTATACCCCCCTCTCTGGGAAGAAGAGTGGAAGGATAATAGACTAACTCGCATGACCATCTCAGAGTGGGAAGCCAGTGCTGAGCTTCCCAGGGTGGACTCGGCCATCATCGCTAAGGATGGAGCATCTGGTATCATGGGGAAAAAGCTCCCTCCATAGCTTCGTTAAAACCAAGGGAAATGAAGCACGACCTGCCAACAAAGGCTCCTCACTCGCCCAGGTACACATCCGCTCTTCCCAATGATAACTACTGAACACCTACTATCTGTTAGGCACAGTCAGTCCAGCACCGCATGCTGAGTAACTCGGGAAAAGTGGATGTGTTCATGGGGATGCATGCTATACAAAGACACGTGAAGAAATACATGAATGCATAGCATATGTACAAAGATGAGCAGCCAAGAATGTTTGGTGGGTGAAGCTATTCTCTGAAATCTTCTACAATGGTGACGGAGGAGAGCACTTTCCATCATCATCATTATAATAACTGTCATAAATGTCATAATTCTATAATGTGATTTTATTTTCTTATTATTGTTGCATGTGAGAGACGGGGAGAAAGAGGAAGGTAGGGGCACGTGAAGAGTTAAGAGAACAACTTTCTGGAATCTGTTCTCTCCTTCCACCTCTTTGTGGGCTCTGGGGCTCAAACTCAGGTTATCAGGCATGTGTGACAAACACTTTACCCAAGAACACGCTAAATGCACGCCATCATTTGTCTTAAGCAAGCCCTGCCCACATTTAAAGCATGCTCTTAGACCAAGGTAGGTTAGGTCTGACAGAGATTGGTTAGAGCCCCTGTCTCTACCTCCTCAACAATGCAGTCCCAGTGGTAGCCTGTCAGCTAAGCGTATTATCCTGGAGGTGAAAAATGCATAGGCCATCATCTCCATTTCCATCATCTCCACCACCACAATCATCTCCATCACCACCATCATCTCCATCATCTCCATCATCTCCATTTCCATCATCTCCACCACCACAATCACCACCATCATTTCCATTTCCATTATCTCCATCATCACCATCATCACCACCACCATCATCTCCATCACCACCATCATCTCCATCACCTCCATCACCACCATCACCTCCATCACCTCCATCATCTCCATCACCACCATCATCTCCATCACCTCCATCATCTCCATCACCACCATCATCTCCATTTCCATCATCTCCATCACCACCATCATCTCCATCACCACCATCACTGCCCCAGCCATTGTCACCTAGAAAACACCACAGATGTATCCACATCCACCCTGGCATGATTAACACTCACAAGAGAATTTCAAATGTTCCCACTTTGTTTTCTGGATTCCCACACTATCTGCTTTATAGAAAGCTGTTTTATGAATGCAGCCTCTTAAAACATACCCTTTGTTTATCTGCCAGTGAAACAGAAACTGGCTATACTTCAAAATAAGTATTTAACTCATGGGTGACCCTAGAAAAACTGGGTATAGAGGACAGGGCCCCCACGTAGAGCCTCATGCTGCTCTCGAGACATCCAAAGAGTAGGAAAGAAAATGGGACCCAGATCCCCATCCCAGGAAGGACCCCCCTCACTGGCTCTCTCCTCTTGGACTTGAAGGTACTTTGATCTGTTGTCCAAACTCCCAGAGGATCTGAAGAGCTTCCGACCTGCAAAAAAAATCCTGACAAAACTGCAGAAGTTTGGAGAGAACTTGGACCTGAGGATCCGGCCACATGTCCTCCTGAAGGTGCTCCAGGACCTTCGAATCTGGGAGCTGTGCTCCCCAGACATTGCAGTGGCCATTGAGGTAATGATCACCCCCCCATGCTCTCACAATGCCCTCAGGAGCCCTCATTCAGCATCTTTCAGCTTCCAGACACTGCTTAAGTGCAATGGACCAACTATCACAAAACCCAAAAGCCCTGCCTTCTGGAAACTCTGACTCTAATTGGAGAAAGAGTGCCATGTGCACTTGGCTGTTTAACTTCAACTCCGAGGGTCAATGGTGTCTATGTAAGCAGTACTCCCTGGAGATCAGGAGGCTTGGACGGGATGTAAACGTGCCGATCATCAAAATGATCGTCTAAGAAGTATGCTTCTGAATCTGTGGTTGGTTCCCAGGCTAGCAGTGAGCAGTGTGGCCCTCACTGAGTGCTTATGGGGACAGACACTTACCGTGCCCCTGACGAGGAGACCATCACAGATCACCTAACAGCAAGAGCCCACATGAAACACTGGGCTCTGTGTGTCTTAAACCCAAAATCAGAAGTCAGCAGCGCTCAAAGGAAGCCCTGATCCAAAACAAAAAATTTAAAGACAAATGGCATTGTGAAAGCAATTCATGACATTTACAGGGAAGTGGACATAGCATAGTTATGCTAAGCTTAAAAAGCCAGACTACCAGATTTTCTCTTACACACACATGTGCATGTATACACACATGCGCACACGTGCACACAAGCGCATGCACTCACATGCACGCACACACACACACACACACGTGTGCACGAACACATGCACGCACACAGGCACATGGTATGAAAATCTAAGGGTCCTAAGTGTGAGTGTGGACACTAGAGGGTACTTGAGGATGGATCTTGTCAATGAACTTGATCTTCTTGAACTGTTAGGAACTCATTACTTAATATAATGAATAATACTAATAAAAATGTTAAGATACTAACAAGCAAAGAGAGCAAGGGTAAAAATGTATCCAGCTGGGTTTTCTTCCTCTCTTCAAGCTTTCTTAGCAGACTGGCAACAAGATGAACTTAAAATTGAAGTCAGCAACTGGAGATGGGGAGAGGGGCCCTTTCCCCCAAAACAACCAGTCTGGCCTGACAGGACAAGTTAGTGCAGACTAACTGAGGTTTTAGACAGCAAGTTTTGCATCCCTCTAACAAGGCTCACTCACACACTTATGAGGCAGAAAAGGAGCCATTCCGATCAACTCATCTTTGCCAATGAGACACGTTTGTTTTCCTTCCCCATGGTGTAAAAATCCATGCTTTCAGATTGGAAAGTCTCATCTAGATGCAGCTGGTTACAGAAAGGTCTCCCTGCAAGAAGTTGTCCGGACACCTGAAGAAGCAGTAGGTCAGGGATGAATATGCTCCAATGCCATAACCCCAACTCCATAGCTCAAAACTCCACAGCCCAGCGTGCCATAGTCCAAACTCCATAGCCCCAAACTCCATAGTCCAGCACTCCATAGCCAAACATTCCATAGTCCCAAACTTCATAACCCAAACTCCACAGCCCCAAACTCCATAGTCCAGCACTCCATAGTCCAAACTCCATAGCCAAACATTCCATAGTCCCAAACTTCATAACCCAAACTCCACAGTCCTAAACCATAGAGCCCAAAACTCCATAATCGTATCCATTCAACTTTTGAAGCACTGAGCTATTGGCAAAAAGCAGGGTTCTCTAGAACAATTTAACTTGTAGAATGAATATAGTGTGTGTGTGTGTATGTGTGTGTGTGTGTGTGTGTATGTGTAGGGGGGGAAGAGAGATTTATTAGATGACATGCACGCTGCTGTGGTCCAGCTAATCCAACAATGGCTAACTACCAACGGAAGGCACAAGAACTCAGTCATTGCTCATTCTATGAGGTTGGATGTCTCAGCTAAGCTGGTTTTCAGTGTCACCCAAATCCCAAAGGCATGGGCTCTAGTTAATGCCAGTGAAGGAATGGACTTGTCAGCGAGAGCTAGAGCAGGTGGGCTGAGAGCTTCCTTCCTCCACGTCCTTAACACAGGCGGCCAGCAGATTAAAGATAAATCTTCCCACTTCAGAAGATGAGATCAAAAGTAGCTCTTCTCACTCCAAATGTCTTAATTAAGAAAAAAATCCCTCACAGGTGTACCCAGTCACTCGGCTTTTAATCAATTCCAGGCATAGTCAAGTAGACAACCAAGAAAATTTGAGTGGTTTTCTTCTTTCGAGATTTATGTGTGTGTGTGTGTGTGTGTGTGTGTGTGTGTGTGTGTGTGTGTATGTGTGTTTGGCCCATGTGTATGCATGAGCACCACAAGCCTGCTTGATGCCTGCCAGAGTCAGAAGAAGGCAACAGATCCCCTGGAATGTTCTCAAGTGTAATGGACTCAGAAGCCCTTTGTGGACCAGACCAGCTGCAGCCCAGCAAACAGGGGCCACAAGTTTGGCTTTGGGAAGTCCTTAGACTGTCTTTCCAGTCAAGCTACTGAGGCAATCACCACCAGTCCTCCTATCTATCCTATCCTATCCTTTATTTTATTTTTATTTATTTATTTTGCTGGGCACAGTGAGAGAAATTAACAGTTCAAACAAGAACTTCCCCGATTGTTAGCAGAGGGTCAGCATCAATGATTGCCCTCGACTAGCCATTGCCTTGTCCCCTTGAACCACTCCTGCACTGGGCATTCATTACAAGGTTCTGCGCCACATGCGCAGACTGACTCTGCTGCTTTAAGACCTATTTCGAATTCAAATAAGAACATCACTCAAACAGCTGGAGAAATGGATCAGTGGTTAAGATCACCGGCTGCTCTTGCCAAAGGCCTGCATTCAGCTCCCAGCCCCTACATGGCCACCTGTCACTCCAGTTCCAGGGAACCTGACGCCCTCTTCAGACTCTTACATATAAAATGAAATAATACTGTTTTTCCAAAATTAACTCGCATTTGTCTTGTGACTAACATCATTTCTGTAGTATAAAATAAACACCAAGCGATAAGTCATCAAGCATGCAAATCAAGAAATGTACATAAAAAACGGTATACAGCATATCCGTGCTATTTAAGAACACATTCCAATGTCAAACAATAGATTCTAATAATGCAAAAATCTCAATTACTTCTGCACCAACCTAAACACAAATGTCTAAATCATTGGGGGCATCCTGGATTTCAATCACAAAGTCTTCTGAAATGTCAAAGAGAGGCTGGCAGAGAGGCAGTCTAGTTTAGCTTTTCAAGCCAGGCTCCCGGAGTAACACTATGTTTGCCCCTGCAGTTCGTGCGAGAACACATCATCCATATGCCGCAGGAGGATTACACCAACTGGCTACAGAGCAGGGTCAACATGCCCATCCGGCATGCCCTGTCATAGTGGGGCCGGTCCCAGCAGAAGGGGAGAACCAGCACCGTGTCTCTGAGTCCAGCGTGGCCTTCCCCTCTCCTCCCCCACCAAGTTCTCCATCTCTGCTCACTGTTGAACCCTGCCTCTGTCTATTCTTCCAGACTCCCTCACCTTTCCTAAAAATCCTATATAATAAAATTGAGTTGGATATTTACCATCTGCCCAAGGAAGAGTTCATGCTATGGCGTTTGGGTGTGGCAGTCAGATCCTAGGAGAACAAGTTATCACTTGCTGAGCTCTTGTATCGACAGCCCAGTGTTGGGTGCTGTGCCTGTATCATATAATTGTTTATAGCATAAAATGTAACTTTCCTGAGTAGATAGTACTAATTTACCTATCCCATTCCATTGGAGCTAGAGTGTTATTTTCAATATCACATGTATTGTTTTGGAAGGATGGACAAATGGATGAATAAATGAATGGGTAGAGAACTAGATGAATAGGCCGAGGTACAGGTGGATGAACAAATAACATGGATGCATAAATGGATAGGTTAAGAGATGAAGAGATGCATGGACAAATGGGTGAATAAATGAATGAATGAATGAATGAATGAATGGCTAGATGGATGGGTAGATTATGGGTAGACAGAGAGACAGATGGACTGATGGATGGATGGATAGGTAGATGGGTATATGATGGGAGATGTCATTCTGTAAATATGTTTCTATTATTGGTTAATGAATAAATCCCTGTTGGCCAATAGGAAAGCAAGATAGGAGGGACTAGGAGACGAGGATGCTGGGAGATGTAGTAGAAAGGAGTCAAGATGTAGGACATGAGATAAGAGGGCCGGACCCTCTCTCCAGTAAGATAAGACCAGGTGGAAACACTTAGGTTGATAGAAATGGGTTAATATTTAAGACAGAGCTAGCCAATAAGAAACGCTAGTAACAGGCCAACAGCTTTATATCTAATACAGTGTGTCTGTGTGTTATTTGTGGCTGACATGGCTCTGGGTCCAGGCTTGCAGGAAAACTGCTTGTAACAGGTATATGTGTGGATGTATGTATGTATTATGAGTGGATGGATGTGTGGATGGATGATGGATGGATGGATGGTTGGATGGGTAACTGCAAGATATGTAAAGAGGTGGTATGTATGCATGCATGCTCGAACGTGTGTATACAGTTGTGCATGGACACATGTAGAAGCCAGAGCTTGATGGCCTGCCCAGTGGGTAGATATAAAATGAGACATCAGAGGAGAGAGTAAATGAGGAAAGGAGACGGTGGCCCTGGGGACAGAATCACAAAAGCCACTTGGTCACAGTGCGCTGTTCACCAATGGACTGCTTCCTTCTACACAATGTGCAAACACCTGACTTGGATCCTCTGCTTCTGTCTCCTCAACCCCTACGGGCTTGCTCTTCCATCCCTCCTCTTCTGCAGACGGCGAGGCAGAGCCTGGAAAGAATTCTTGCACCCTTTTTTATTTAAGTTTATTTTTGCCTGTGTAAGTTCATTTGTGTGTGTGGATGTGCATGCATGTGTTCATGCGTGTGAACACACACACAGGCCAGAGGCCAACGTTGAGTGTGTTTCCCCAGCACTCTCTTCTGTCTCAGTGTGTTTTGTGTGGCTATGACAAAGCACTCTGACCAAAAGCAAGCGGGAAAGAAAAGGATTTATTTGGCTTACAAGGAACAGTCCATTGCAACGAAAATCGGAGACATTAACTCAGGGCAGGGACTGCAGCAAAGGCCATGGAGAGCACTGTTTACTGGCCTGCTCTTCGTAAATCTCTCAGCAAGCCTGGAGACCGCACAGCTCTCAGTGGATTGGACCCTCCCAACCAATTGGCAGTCAGTAAAGTCCCCCACAGACATGCCCGCCGGTTAACGTGGTGAGGGCGACTCCTCAACTGTCTCTCTCCCTCTTCCCAGGCTGACAAACACTGTGACATCCTTCAGGTTTATATTTTTGAGGCAGGGTCTCTCATTTAACCTGGGGTTTGCTGAGTCCACTAGGCTGACCGGCTAGCAAGCTTCGGAGAGTCTCCTGTCTCTGCCCTCCCAGCACTGGGAGCCTAAGCGATGCGTCCCCTCCTGGCTTTCTGACACGGTGAACACAGCTCACTCCTCAAACGATTATCACTTACAATGAAAATCCCCGAGTGCTTCCCTGTGGTCTTTCCAAACAAACTGCAGCGTTTGTAGTTACAGCTATCCGGAGTGTGCCACGAGTGTGCCATGGCCCCCTGGAACTTCTGGCCTTCGTCCAGCTGTGGCCAACCTTGCCCGTGACTGTTTCTCCCACGCCCAGCCGTGCGTTTCCCAAGGCTCTCACTGTCGGACAAGGAGGTCACAGAAGTGTGCCCAAGCAATGGCTTCAATGAGCACACATGTGCACTGTGACATGCGCTGTCCAAAGTCTAGTCTCCCACGTGTTCACAGCATCTCCCCAAAGGGAAACAGGGCCTTGCTACATACAGCGCCCATTTTTGTAATTAAGCATAGGAAGGCAGACAGATGCATAGCAGATTTGTTCCAGAGCTGAGTCAGGAATGGGGTCTGTCTGGGATAGGAACTAGATTAAGAATCACATGACACCCTGTGTCCTGCACTCCAGGCACGGCTCAGCTTATTTCTCAGAACTGTAGCGCCATCTAGTGGCAGCTGTTCAGCCGTTAGTACTGCTTCCGCTATGCCCTTGAGCAAAATGTAACTGTCCTGCCAAAAAGGGAGGAGGTGACTGTTAACAGTAAGAAGACCTAGGAGCTCAGACTGGGTGTAAGATGCTCACACAGAGGAGCTCACACATAACCCGGAACAGCAACCAGTGCATCACATTCCCAGCTCCTGGGCCCGAAGAGCCCCAGGGAGAAATAGTTTTTGGAGTGAACTTCTTCATCAGAATCCAAGAGAGCAGCAACAATGTCTGATCCCCAAAGTCACTGCCCCCCCCAGACTGCCCAAGCCATCTGCGTATCTTCTATCTTAGCTTCTAAAGCTGCATCTTCTGGTTGGGTTTTCTGTTTATACATATAGTGCTTTTGTTGTTTATTTGGTTTTGAGGTAGGGTCTCATCCAGGGGAATCTTGAGTTTGCTTTGTTATCTGAGGCTGACTTTGAACTCCCGACCCTCCTGCCTCTGCCTCCCAAGCATTGGGGGGCGGGGTCACAAGTTTAAAGAAAAACATTAAAATAAAATCATATAAAGCAAAGCCCAGAGCACATTTGGGCCAAGGAGTCATAGTCTGTGAACTCCTGCTTCAGGGTAAATTCAAAGAAGATGCGTTTTCTACACTTTCCAGAGCACATAGGAGGGCTGACAAAACGGAATGATTTCAGCATCGGCTTAGATATTTAGACAGCACTGACTGCCTCTTCATCTTCATGGGAAGAGAACATGAGCACAGGGTAAAACTTCACAGAGTAAACTAGGTAGTGTCCGTCCCCTCCCATTCTCAGACCACGCCAGCACCAGCCACACCGTACCCAGGAGCCTGGGGCCCTCCCAGAGACAGTCGGCCCGAGCCAGCAGCAGGGATGCCCGAGCCTGCTGCCTGCCAGGCCTTGCTCTAAACCAGCGTCCTCAACCTCCCTATCTGGTTCCTCATGCTGTGGCAAACCCCAGTCATAACAGTTTTCGTTCTACTTCATAACTGTAACCTTGCTACTGTTATAATTTGTAACATAAATATCTGATATGAGACCCCTGCAAAGTGGACCCCTCAGAGGGGTTGAAAACCACTGACAAGGTAAAGGACACACTCAATACAAGGTCCTTCGTGGGACAGAAGCATCTTCAGCCCCAAAGTCCCAAGACTCTAGACATAGATGTGATTAGGGAAAACTGGCGGTCAGAGATTCACGACACTTTTTAAGGTGTAGGGGGCCAGGAAGATGGATAAAGGGGCTTGCTGCCAAGCCTGATGACCCAAGTTCAACTCCCAGGATCTATACATAGTGGAAAGAAGAGAAGTGACGGGCAAAAGCCGGCCTCTGGCCTCTGCAGGCATACGCATGCACATACATACACACGCATGTTAAATGAAATGTAATTGAAACAGGTGTGTGTGGAAAGAAGTGAAAGTGGTTCATAATGAACAGACAACAAATTCTGGAGGCAACGAGCTCCAGAGAAAGGAGAAAGGAGCTACGGACAGGGCTCAAGTGAGGTTTGTGGGAGGCAGGCAAATCCTGAACGTCCGTATAATACTTGAACCTGGGGAGATGTAGCTAGCACATCCCACACCATGGGAGACATGCAGAGACATAAAGATGGCCCCTCTCTCCCAGGAATCAAAAAGAACCAAACTACAGTCCTGCTGTGGGATCAAGTCCAGATCTCAGCCGCGCTCCTGCACGGCCTTGAAGGGCATCACATCTGTCAAGTGCAGAGCCCACTAAAGAGCCCACGAGGATGCCTGTGTGCAACATCCATCTCACAGGAAGAAGCCGGTGCACACTGGAGATGGCAACAATGCAGTGGTGACAGGCAGTGTGGTGTGGATGGAGCACACGGTCTCACACGGAGTGTGGTGTGGACGGAGCACACGGTCACACATGTCAGTGTGGTGTGGATGGAGCACACAGTCACACACGGAGTGGGGTGTGGACGGAGCACACAGTCGCACATCCCCAGCCTTGCATGTCAAAGACGATTCATCAGTCACTGTCCTCACGTGCACGCACTAATGTCTGGCTCTGGCCAACTGAACCCTGAGTCTGTCCATCACTGCCTCAGAACATAGAGACTGATTGTAAAACCCAAGTCACATGACCCCAACCCAGGGACAAGAAAGACACATATCTGGCCTCTGAAACTTAAAAAAAAAAAAATGAGAATTCCACACATGAGAACTGCATTTATATTATTTCCACCTATCCCTCTACCCCCTTCAATATTATCTGTGGTGCCCATTCTGTCTCAAATCTAGGACCGTCTATAGATAGGTAGATGATAGATACATAGACAGATAATTGAGAGATGATAAGATAGATACATAGATAACTTAGAGATGAT